TGCCCCTGGCAGAGGCAGAATTTAAGGGAAACCGTCACTTCCCACCACCGCCACCCCTCGCCAGCTCACCACCTCTTTTGTCTCCTGGATTAAGTGTTTCCTCTGTGAGGGAGGCCTGGGCAGGCTCAGCAGGGCTGGACTGGGAGGCGGGGGCCTGGGTTGGGCTCTGGGTGAACCAGCCCTTTCCAGTTTGCTGTGCACCTGGGGCTGAGCCTGCCTCTCTCTGCGGCACTATTTCCAAGTCCCTGAAAATCTAATTGTAGATTAATGTTTAGGCCAGTAGGGCAGGCAGGAGGGCGACGGTGGCTCCCGGCCCCTGGCAGAGGTGGACCCCACAGCAGGGTCCTGGTCAGCCAGCGGGGAACAGTGCGTGTGGCCCGTGGGGATAGCTGCCAGCCAAGGCTGCAGCCAACTTGGGAGCCCTTGTCTTAAGTTCCCCCTCAAACCACCCATCCTGCTCTGCCTGATCCCAACTCACTGTCAGCAGAGAGATATTGGGAGCTGGGCCACAGCCTCCTTCCCCTCAACCTTGGTTTTGAGCTTTCTCAGCCTATTGTTTCTGCCATTGAGTCTTCCTGCTCTGAGGCCCGTAGGCCAGGTTGAGCAGAAGAGCACTGATCTAGGAACCTGAATGGATTGACAAGGGCTTCCTGGAGGAAGTGGCATTGACCTGGACCTGGGGCAGTGGGTGAGGAAAGTGAGTGTGCTTTGTGGGCAGAGCTCTTCAGGAGGAGGTGTCCAGGCTCGGGATCAGTCAGATCCCCGCTCCAGCTCCCCTCTGCCTGCCCCTCGCTGGCTGCAGGACCTGGGTGAGCTCGCTAATTCTCCGGACCCCGTTTTCCCTCTGTCCAATGGAGTGAGGGAACTTCCCTTATGGCCTGCTGTGAGGATTCGATGAGAACACACATGCTAAACCCTTAGCTTGGCAGCAGCTGGTGCTCCTCACGGGTTGGCTGTCATCATCCTCATCACTGTCATCCTTACTCTGTGAGCACCACAGAAGGTGGGGGGCGAGGGAGGAACAGCTGTGACGCAGTGGGGGCCCCTGCCCCCAGCTCCTGAAGTCTGTGGGGCAAAACTAGATTCAGGCCCAGATCGCTGCAAAGCCAGACATTGGAAGGAAGCAGCCTGGCCCGCAGGATGGGCCCTGGACTTGACCCTGGGCCAGCCTGGGTTTGAATCCCAACCTTGCCTCTGACTAGCTATGCCAGCTGGAGCAAGCCACTCACCCCTGAGCCGTTTCTCCTCCCGCACAGGGATGGGTGCGGGGACCCCATGGGCAGCTGGAAATGAAGCGAGGGCCTGGCATGCGGTGAGCACACCCTGAGGAGCAACTTTCAGTAAAATGAGTAACGTGCGAAGCGATGAGGTCATCGAGTGCTGCAGATAAAGCACTGGGGGCCGGGGGAGGGTTTCGGGAGGGCTGGTGGCATTGGAGATCGGTGCGAAGGCTGGGGATGTAGCGAGGATGTGAGCCAGAGAAGGGCTCCCCGGGGAGGTGTCTGTGCAAACCCCACAGCAGAGGCAGGAACTCCCAGTGCAGGTGTGGGAGCCACAGCCGTTGGACCGCTCTGGCCATTGCGAGTGCACCAAGAGCGAGGTACAAGCTCTCAGGCAGCCCTGACGTCAGGGGCTCTGAATGCCACCGTGAGGGCTTGCTACTCGATCCCCCACGACCTGGGGAGGCAGGAGAAAGACATGAGGGGAGCCAGGCGGGAGGACGATGAATCTGGCCGCGTGGAGTGGAGTGGGTAGATTGACGGGGGAAGAGATTGGGGGTGGAGAGACCATTTAAAAGGCGGTTGCAAAATCAGTTTTCCTGATAAAGAGCTGGGCTGAGTCATCTGTGGAGGAGAGAAGTCACATCCAGCTCCTCCGCGTTGCTGGCGATGTGGGATTTTCTCTCTGTCGGCGAGGCGATTGGCTGCCTTTCCCAGAGGCTTTGAGAACCAAGGCCGGCTCAGCACAGAAGGGGAACTGGGCACCAGGGAAGACCGGGCCACAGTGAGTAAGATGAGCACTCAGAGGTGCCTTTGTCGTTTGGGGTGTGCAGCTTAGGGCATGTGGCATCCCTCTCTGGTCTCAGTTCCCCTCTGGGCCTCCAGGGAGAGGCGGATGGTGACTTCTTTCAGTGGCAAGGCTGGAGCTAGGTCTGAGGCTCCCCACTCTTGTTCCTAGGCTCTCTTCTGTCCTGGCAGTCCTTCCCACCGTAGTATGAATTATTCTCCTCCTGCGAGGTCTGGCCGTCTGCCGGGACTGTCAGGTTGCACTCGCCAGGACTTTGGCATGGATGGAGAACTCTCCAGAGAATGACGGCTGTGTCATTTCCTCTTTCCAGTGGGGAGGATATGGGGCAGGGGCTGGCAAGGTAGCCAGACCATTACTCAGCCCAGTTCATCTTCCTGCCCCCAGCTGAGCCAGAGGTTGTGCAGCGGCCAGCCATTGGCTCCTTCCTGACTCCACCAGGGGGGCAGTTTACCCAGCCTGTTTACCTGTCCTGTTGCCAAGCCTCCCCGGCAGCCAGAGTGGGCTGCCTTTAGCCAGTCTCTGTTCCTACCTCTTGCCCCCTGTCCCACTCCGCCCCAGCGGGGTGGATACTCCCATTGACGGCAGCCGTATGAAGAACATTTCCTTGAATTCTCTCGCTGTCCTGACCTTCTGCTCTGGCCTCCCTTCCCCTGCCCCACCTCCCTCCTTCGTCCAGACAGGCCTGCCGGTGGGCAGAGCAGGCTGCTGCCTGCAGAGCTGCTGGGGGGAGGAAGGGCATCGCCCTGCCTGTACACAGCTAGAACTCAGGACCCTGACCCCAACGCGTTCTTCCCAAACGAGCTCTCATGTCCCAGCAATCATTTCTGCCTTAGTGAGAACTCTTCTCCCAAGAGGAGGAAGGGGAGAAACCCTGGGTTGTTCCTGGCAGCTGACCATGCCGGGGAGAGGGCACTGCAGGGCACTGATCGTGAGATGTGAAAGCCTCTACCCGCTCCCCGCCCTCCACCCCCGCCCAGAGTCAGGGTCTGGAAGGCAGCGTGGTTAAGAAATGAGACTCAGCAGCCAGACTGTGAGTTCTGAATCCCAGCTCTACTACTTACAAGTTGTATGACCCTGGGCAGGTCTCTCTGACCTCTGACTTCATCTGCAAACTGGGAAGAATAACAGTCTTCTCTCTGGGGATTGTCGAAAAGATTGAAAAGATGATGAATATAAAGGGCCTGGCACAGCACCTGGGCTGCAGTGAGGGCTCAGTAATTACAGCCCCGTTGCATCCTCATTCTAATGTGTGCTCAGGGCTTCCTGTCCGCCTCCCCAGCTTGGGAGGACCCTGGTGGACCCTGGCCCTCTGCCCCCTGCCTCCCTCCGGCAGCCCTTCCTTGCACCTGCCATCACCCCGTCCTCTCCTAAGGCCTGTCTTCAGAGCTTCTGATCCATTGTCCAGGGTGGGTCTTTCAGGGGCCAGCTCCCAACCTGGCTGTACAGAGGCACAGAGAAGGGGGGCAGGGAGGCGCTGTTGTGACTTGCACAGGTGCAGGCTGTACCAGGCAGATTGGGAGCTCAGTGAGGTGCCTGTTCCTGCCTTTCTGACACCAGGGAGCCCAGTCTCAGACCCAGTGGCTGGGCACTGCCAGGGGTGGGTTCCCTGGTCTGAGGAATTTTGGATGGAACTGCCTCCCTGGTGCCCTGCCATGGGGACTCTGGTGCTGGGGGCTGGCCTGGCCCCTTCTTTCAGCTTTGTTTATGCAGGGTGGCAGGGTGGATTGCTAGCTGGGTCTGGTTCAAGCCTTCTGCTAAATTCCTTTTCCATGGAGTCACTGTGGGCTGGGGTGGAGGGCACGGGAGCTTCACCAGAGGCTGGGCTTTCTCGGCCCCTGGCCTTGTCTGCCATGTTCCTCTTGTCCCCAAACAGCAGTCGGGGAGGCTCTTAGTCACACTGGGGTCAGCCCACCAGGTCCTGGCCCAACGCCTTCTCTGCAGCCCTTCCCTCTCTAAGCCGCCCAGGCCAGCTTACCCCACTGGGGGCCTTCATGTCCCACCATTTGAGAACTTTCTAAATCCATGGCCTTTAGAACAGCCTGGGGACAGGACTGAAGCAGACAAGTGGGGGGTGGGGGGGGGTGCAGGGTTGTTTGGAGCCCTGGTTATTCAAATTGAAACGCTTTCTAGGAGCCTCGCACTGAGGGAACATGCCAGCCAGGAAGGTTGGTGCTCTCGGGAGTCATGCGGAGCCAGGGGAGAGCCAGCTCCACTCCTTTCCAGCTCTGTGACCTCGGGCAGCTCACTTTACCTCTCTGAGCCTTGGTTTTCTCATCACTGAAAAGTGGGTAACAATAGTTTGTGCTTCATAGGGTTGCCGTGGGAATGAAACAAGTCAGTACATGGAGAGCACGTGTGTGGGTCCACAGTAAGAGCCAGTGTCAGCTACGATTGTTGCAACTGTGTCCTGAGAAGTGTGAGGGGACTGGGCACGTGCGTCCTGACCATGCCGTGTGGGATGTGCTATCTGTGAATCCCTGCAGGGCTGTCAGGTTGGGAGGAGGAGGCGTTTTCTCTGGGGGCGTTTGGGGGCAGAAGTTAATGTGAGGAGCAGCTTTCCGCTGAGGAGTGTCCGTTAGTGGAAGGCACCTGTGCAGGTAGTGAGCTCCATGTCGATCAAGTGTGTAAAGTGAGGTGTGTACCCTCAGGGGTATGGTTCTAGGGATGCAGGCATTGGACTCGGTGACAGCCATCTTGGAGACTCTGAGGTTCTGTAATTTGGGGCAATAATCCCAGCCCCCTGCCCTGAGAATGCTGGAATCCCCTGCTGTGTGGCCTTAGGTCGCCTCCTCTCTCAGGACCCTGATCTGTGGAGTGATTTTCCTTTGCTAGAAGAACCTCTGACCCCTCCCAGGAGAAGAGTGGGTCCCCAATTCCACTCCATCCAGGGTAGCATGAGCCCTCTCCCCAGGCATTCATGACCGCATGGCAGCCTCCCGACCCTAACGTCAGTGCTTTCATCCCCTTCTCAGTTAAGGAATGGCTCCGAGAGGTGCAGTAACTTGCCAGCAAGTGGCAGAGCCTGGATTTGGGCATGAGGCCTGGTTTCTAAGCAGAGCAGAGGAGATGGGCACTGCGTGAGCTGAGCAACCTCTCAGGGCCTCCTCATCTCCCCCAGGTGGGCACAGGTGTCTGTGTGTGTGTGTGTGTGTGTGTGTGTGTGTGTGTGTGTGTGTGTGTGTAGGGGGGAGAGGGTAGCCAGATCCTGATGGGAAGAGGAAAGGAGGTTGGGGCCAGCCTGTGGCTGCTGGGCCTGGTCCCAGTGAAACGGCTGTCTGCAGCCATGCTGCTCTGTGTGGCCTCCCTGCTGGGAGCTCTCCCTGCACCCCTCTCTGTACCTGTTTCCTCGTCTATAACATGGGGGTGGTGGTAAAACTGCGCCTCTGTAAGGGCCCTTCTAGCTCTGAGAGTCCCTGAATTCTGAGCTCCGCTGGCAGGATACCTAGAAACACTGTCCCTGGCCACTCACTCAGCATGTCATGGCCAGTACTAATGAGGGCAAGGGAGAGGAAGGGCAAGGTCAGATTCCTCAAGAACTAATTAGCTTCCCACAGCGGGGGTGGGGTGGGGTGGGGGAGGAATTTTCTCAGCCACTGAGTGAGCTGCTAATCCTGCCCACAGCCTGTCCCATCCACCTGCCCATCGGTCCATTTGTTCGTGCACCCATTTGTTTAGGCATTGCTCAACAGCATAAAGTGAGCACCGACTGTGTGCCAGGTGGGCACTGGGGATATACAGAGAAACGGTTGCTGCCATGAACTTAGATTAATAGGAGTCTGACTGCAGCCTGATCCCTGACCTCAGGCCTGGACTTCAGCTCCAGACTGAACCCCGAGCCCTGCTGTGTTCCCCCTACGTCCCAAAGGGATATTTTGAAAGAAGCATGGGCTGTGGACCCAAAGGGACCTGGTTCTGCTTCCAGCTCCGCCACCCTTTGCTGTGACTTTGGGTGAGCTATTTACACGTCTCCAGACCTCACTTTCCGCCTCTGTAGAACAGGGACCAGAAATGCTTGTCGCCTGGTGTTCTTGTGAGGATAACATGAAGCAATGCAATGTTCTAGCTGAAATTAGCCTAATTTATTGCTTTTATATTAAAATATGAGAATTTTTAAATATTTACATAAAAATGGGAAGAAACTGTGCAAGGACATAGAAGAAACTAATGACAGTTGTTACCTGAGTGTGATGAGGACACTCGGGGTGGAGGGACACTTCTCACTGTATACTTTCTTTCTGTCTTTGAACACTGTGTACTTTGTTTTTAATTTTTTAGATCATGTGAATGTACTGCCTGTTCTAAGAAGAGAAGTGTTAGTGTTTGTGCTAATGGCTATACTATGGGCTTGGGAGTGTGAAGGGCCCTAGGAAAAGCACATGGCGAGTGTCCTGGACTCATTCGTGCACTCAGTCCTGCTTGCTGAGCGCCAGGCTCTGTGCTAGGGGCCAGGCTTAGAGGACTGAACAAGCCAAGCAAGGTCACTGTCCCCTTAGAGTGTATGGGGGGCGGGCAGATAATAAACAAGGAAACAGATAAAGAAGATAGTTGTGAGTTGTGGTGAATGCCATGAAGAAAATCAACAAAGAGATGGGATAGAAAAGGACAGGGCTGATCAGAGAAAGGCCCCTCCAGAGAGGTGACACCCAAGTCCTGAATAGCAAGAAGGAGCTGACCTGGAATGCCGCCTGGGAGATCATTCCAAGCAGAGGGAACAGCAAGTGCAAAGGCCCTGGGGCAGGAACAAACGGCATTTTCAAGAATTAGAAAGAAAGCCAGCAAGGCAGAGCCTAGTGAGAGAGGAGAAGGGAAACGAGTCAGGATATAGCGGGGCCAGGACTGCTAGCGTGAGGTGTTCTTCCTGAGTTCGGTTGACTGCTGTATCAGCAACCTGTGGGCTCCAATGAGGGGCTGGCTAACGCTAAAATGGTCATCTGGGCAGGTTTACACAGCTGGTGCATTGGAGTTGAGCCAAAAATGGCTGGGTCAGGATTCTTTATGAGCAGACGGCATTCCAGAAAACAGGGAGTTGAGATCAAGATGCTAGAGGAAAAGGTCACCTGTAGGAGGGTCACGGGTGATTGTCTGTTGGTCTGTCTGTCGGTGGACCCCTGTGGCTCTGCATCCCCGTTTGCTAATCCGGCCTCTGTCCCTCCCTGCAGCGTTGGGCCGGAGCACGAGCCTCACCGAGAAGGATCTGAAAGAGGCCAAGGCGCGGAGCCAGCAGATCGCAGCCCAGCTGACCACCCCTCCCAGCTCCAACTCCCGAGGCGTCCAGCTCTTCAACAGGCGCCGGCAGAGGGTGAACGAGTTCACCTTGGAGAGCCACGGCCGGAGGGGACAGACGCCAAGCCAGGAGTCCCCGAGAGGGCCCCCGGGCAGCCCCGCAGGCCATGCCCCAGGGCTCAGCCTGAGTCCTGCCTCACTTCACGAGCCAGGCCCTCCAAGGCGCCCCCACGGCGAGAGCTCCGACCTAGGGGTCCCTGGGCACAGCATGGAGGGGTGCTCAGAGGAGGCCAGCTTGCTGCGGCACCTGGAGAAAGTGGCCAGTGAGGAGGAAGAGGTGCCCCTGGTGGTTTATTTAAAGGAGAACGCAGCCTTGCTGACAGCCAATGGGCTCCACCTGTCCCAGAACAGAGAGACCCAGAAGAGTCCACCCACCCCACCTCCAGCTGAGGTCCACAGCCCAGCTCCAGATGTCAACCAAAACCTTGCCTCCCCCGGTGCCGCACTCATCACACCAGCTGCTAATGGCAGCCACCACCTGCCAGCCACAGATGTCAATCAGAACCCAGCGGCGGCGGTCACCCCTCAGAGCCTGCCGTGTTCTAGCCTCCAGCAGAACTCCTCGGAGGCTCAGCTCCCACCGCCTGGCACAGTGCCAGATGCTACACCCAGCACCCAGTGTGCTGGCGGGCAACCCCAGGAGCAGGTGAGACCCAGCACACTCCTAACTGACAAGGCGTCAGCTCCATCGACCACCAGCAGCACCTTCCCCAGAGAAGTGGCTCCCAGCTCCGGGTCCCCAGCCCCAGACTTCATGTCCAGCTCCCTGCTCGTCGATGTCCAGCCCAGCGCCCCAGCGGTGTCAGCAGAACAAGAGACATCTGGGCGGGCAGTGGCCACCACGCCCACCAAGCTGTACAGCGAGGTCCACCTCACGCTGGCCAAACCCCCATCCGTGGTCAACAGGACGGCCAGGCCCTTTGGGATCCAGGCACCAGGGAGCACTGGCCCGATGGAGCGGAGCCCCATGGTAGAGAGAAGACATCTCGGGGGGAAGGCCCCGGCTTCCCAGCCCCCCAGCATGGCCGACAGGAGCCCTCGGCCACAGAGACACGTTCTGTCTCACAGCCCCATGGTGGAGAGGAGGCCCATGGCACAGCGCAGCCCCGCCTTGGAGAGACGCCCCTTGGGGAACTTCGCCCCACCCCCCACTTATGCTGAGACCTTGTCCACCGCTCCCCAGGCGTCCCGGGTTAGGTCTCCCCCCTCTTACTCCGCCTTGTACCCCAGCTCTGACTCCAAGCCTTCCCATCTGAAGGGCCAGGCGGTTCCCACCGGCAAGACGGGAATTTTGGAGGAGTCTATGGCCCGAAGGGGCAGCCGGAAATCCATGTTCACCTTCGTGGAGAAGCCCAAGGTGACGCCAAATCCAGACCTGCTGGATCTGGTACAGACAGCTGATGAGAAGCGGAGGCAGAGGGACCAGGGGGAAGCTGGAGGGGAGGAGGAGCCCTTTGCGCTGGGGGCTGAGGCCTCCAACTTCCAGCAGGAGCCAGCACCCAGGGACAGGGACAGGGACAGCCCCACCGCAGCCGAGAATGCTGTCCCCGAGTGGGCCTCCTGCCTCAAGTCCCCGCGCATACAGGCCAAACCGAAGCCCAAACCCAACCAGAACCTGTCAGAAGCCTCTGGGAAAGGGGCTGAGCTCTATGCCCGCCGCCAGTCCCGCATGGAGAAGTATGTCATAGAGTCTTCGGGCCACGCCGAGCTGGCCCGCTGCCCTTCACCCACTATGTCCCTGCCTTCGTCCTGGAAGTACTCCTCCGGCAGCCTCCGAGTGGCATCCCGAAGCCCAGCTCGGACCCCACCTGCCTCCCTCTACCATGGCTACCTGCCTGAGAATGGGGTCCTGCGCCCAGAGCCCACCAAGCAGCCGCCCTACCAGCTGCGGCCCTCGCTCTTTGTCCTCTCCCCCATCAAGGAGCCAACCAAGGCCTCACCAAGAGCCGCCTCACCCGCCAAGCCGAGCTCTCTGGACCTGGCGCCCAGCCTGCCCAAGGCGACCCTCCCACGGTCACCCTCCCTGCCTCGGCCCTCCCGCTCCTCGCCAGGCCTCTACACAGCCCCAGGCCAGGACGGCCTCCAGCCCACTGCCGTGAGCCCCACCTACAGCAGCGACATCTCCCCTGTGTCTCCCTCCAGAGCCTGGTCTCCTCGAGCCAAGCAGGCCCCCAGGCCCTCCTTCAACACCCGGAATGCCGGGATCGAGGCTCAGGTGTGGAAGCCTTCCTTCTGCTTCAAGTAACGGACCCACAGGGATCCCACTGCCTGTCAGGGCCCCATCTCTGAGGGCAGGATGGAAAGCAGATGTGGCAGGAAATGGCACAGGGCTGAGAGTCAAGCATATGGGGACTCAGGGCTCAAGGGCTGATGCTGCTGCCAGCTAGCTTTTTGACTGACGCTGGGCAAGTCACCTCTCCTCTCTGAGTTGCAGCTGCCAGTTCCCTGCTCTGAGGGTGGCTGGACTCCATGTCAGGGATAGAAAGCTTGCTACTGGGCGGGAGGAGGGTCATGGAGGCAGGCGCCAATGAAGCTGGGGCTTCCTCTGGCCTTTGTGAGCTATTAGGATGCCAGCGTCTTGCTGGGGAATGGCCTGGAAGGGGACCTCCACACGGGCTTCTGGAGCAAACATCCTGCCAGAGCCTGTGGAACGGCGGGACCACCCTCATGTGGCCCGACTCCTGGCACCTTTCTGCCTGTTGCTGGACTCTCACCTCCACGGGTCTGTCTCTTCCACCTCTGCCTTCTGGACACCGTTTCCTCTCCGCTGCTTCAGAGAGCTTTGCCTCGGCCTCCACATTTCCTCCTGCTGGATGAAGACTTAGCCTACTGCTGTCTGATGCTTTTCTCCTGCCCTCTGTCAGCTGCCTCCATGCCTTCTCCAAACACCTGGCTCCGCTTACGGGACAGCTTAAGCAGCTCATCCCAGACCTCTACCCTGGTTCCACCTGGCTTGCCCCCACTGCTCTGGGGTAGGGGAGGTCCCAGGGACCCCTGAGAGACAGCCCTGTAGAAGGCTGTGCAGTGAGGAGAGTCCCCTGGCAATGTATCCAATGGCTGCTTTGGCTGCAACCTCAGCCAAGATCTGCCTGACTGAAAGCAGCCATCTCCATGCAGTGGAAGGGAGAGAGGCAGGAGAGGAGGGTCTGGTCCATCTCAGCCTCTCATTTGCTGAGTGCCTTTGGCCAAGTCACTTTCCCTCCCTGGGCCTCAGTTTTCTCATTTAGACAATGAAGGCTCCACCAGTTGTGACAATCTGTGAGGGTGAGAAGATAGGCTGGTGCTTTGGGAGAAAGGCCTTGTAAGTGTTGACAGTCCCCTGGGAGGAGAGGAGAAGGAGATGGGCAGTTGCTGTAGGACAGATGGAGATGAGATGTCTGCAAGGTTGTTCTGGGGAGGGTGTGGCTGGAATGAGCTGCTGGAGGAGTCGAGGGATCGGAAGCCTAGACTGGGATGGCTCAGGTGCAGGACTGCTGGGGCAGTGGGAGCAGAGCAGCTCAGGGAGATGGGACGGAGGAGACCTTAAGGTTCTGAGGAAAAGCCTGGGACGTAAGAGTTGACTCCATGTGTATCTTTGGTTCTCAGTTTCCCCATTCATAGTACAGTGAGGGTGCTCAGTCAGGTAGTATGAGCACTTTACCACCTCTGAAAGTTTTATGTGCTGCAGCCCCCCAACACCAGGCTTTGTGGGGGGTGAAATACAGAGGCAAGAGGCAGAATTCAGATGGAAGATTCCCAAGGCTGGGGCCCGAGCACCACCCACTTACTCTTTTCCAGCCCTATTTCTGGGCTCCCCAGTGGGGAGAGGGGTGGTGGAGGCGGTGCCCATGCTGGGCTGAGCCTGCAGTTTTCCTGAGCTCCGGGCTCATCTCCATGGGAACCGGGTGCCTTCCCAGTGAGTTCATTCTGCCCAGAATGCAGGGGCATGTATGGGGAAGCCTTGAGTGAGCTCAGCAGATCCATGCAGCCCCCTCTCAGGACAGAGTGAAGCCCCCACCCTAGACCTGCTCCCTTGACTCCTGGAAGAGCCCAACCTCCATCCGGCAATGCCTGCGGCCAGGCTGGCCAAGCTCTTCCCACTCTGTTTTCTCTCCTGTTCTCAATACACTCTGCCTCAAACCTGTCTTGCTTTCTTTCTTCCGTGCTCGCTGGCTGGCAGTCAGGGCCGTCTCCCTCCTCCCTGATTCTGGCCTGGGAAGTGGGGCGGGACTGTTCAGTTCGGTGTGAATGTGTGGTGTGTCTCTTGTGCTGCCTGCATCTGCTGTGTCTGGATCAGCCATGGGCACAGATGTGTGCTGGCTTGGAAGCAAGGTGCCCTCTTCCCCAGAAGCCAGACCCAATGGAAAGCACGTTCCTCTGTTTTCTCCTTCCTCAGAGTTTGGCTAAAAAAAGGCTGTAGAACCTAGGGAAAACGCACAACCTCTTAGAGTTCAGGTTGGTTTGAGTTCTTTAAAAGTGGAATTTAAATGCCAGCGCATACATTTTCCTGTTCCCTCAGGTCCCCTTCTCCTCTCCCTACAACAGCGGTTCTCAACCTGTGGGTCGAGACCCCTTTGGCGGTCGAACGACCCTTTCACAGGGGTCGCCTAAGACCATCCTGCATATCAGATATTTACCTTACAATTCACAACAGTAGCAACATTACAGTGATGAAGTAGCAACGAAAATAATTTTACGGTTGGGTCACAACATGAGGAACTGTATTTAAATGGCCAGAAGGTTGAGAACCTCTGCCCTACAATGTAAATCTGGCCATTTCCCATGCTCATCACCACCTGCCTCCAGAAAACACTGAATTTCTGCCCCTGGTGGAGAGGAACACACTGCCATCGAGTCAGACTGGATTCCAGTCCCAGATCTGCACCTGACTTCTATGTGACCTTAGACAACCCCTTCCTACCTCTGGGCCTCAGTTTCCCCCTTCCATTGCAATGGAAGAACCTCAGAAGGCAGTTTGGGACTAGGTCTGGTCTCTAGCAGTTCCTGTCTGACTTTGCTCTCCTCATGCCTTCACCCCACACATGTGCCCTGCTTTGGGGCTGGTGCTGGGTTAAGTGATGCACTTGGTGAATTTTCACTCATGTGTCTTTGACAGTTCTGGTATATACAGAAATTCAGGGTGCACTGAGATCTTTGCCAGAGAGTGAACAGCTCTGATTTCCTGCAGCCTTTTTGTATTCTGCACCCCCCACTAGCCCCCCCATACACACACACAGAGAGTCAGTATCCAGCCATGGCAATTCCGATGAGGTCAGGCTCTGGCCCACCTCCAAATGATGAGGAGCTGTTCACCACTGCCCCCAACATTCCAATACAAGCTGTTATTCCTTCCACTTGCTGGCCCTAGCTTTCCCCTTGTGGCCACCAAAGGCAGAGACAACCCTTAGAGATTTCAGACAATTACCTCAGCTCCCCCTGCCTCAGACTACTCTTCTGGCTAAAGAGCCCTGGTTGCTCTGCCTCAATGCGTGTTGATGGGCTTTGATCATGAACTCTTGGCCCCACTTCCCTCAGCTGGGCTGACAGCAAGCTTCCTGGGATGTTGCACAGACAGAGCAGCTCCCAGAGTCTCTGGCTCACGTATAAACAACTCTGATCCTGGGAGTATAAGGGGTGGATCCCATGCCAAGCTTTAACTTTCTTACTTGGTGATTGAGGCCCAGGGTCACTCCAGCATTACCATCCCATGAAGAACTGTTCAGACTGCTGTACAAACTGCCATCAAGAGTCAGAACTGGATTCTTGTCCCGTATCTGCACCTGACTCCTATGTGACCTTAGACAACCCCTTCCCACCTCTGGGCCTGTTTCTCCTTCCATGCAGAAGGTTCAAATTCTGTGTCTGGACTCATCTAGTAGCCACTACATTGGAGAAAACAGATACTTATGTCCACTGCTTGCTTTTAGATTCTGATCAGATAAGAGGCTGAAGGGCTTGGCTGTGGCTGATCACTGATTGAATTAGAGAATGGATGTTATGAGATACTGACTGAGCAGGAAGCACTGAATGGACTGGCTAGTTCTGGACTCTGAGGGATGACTGGTGGTGAATTTGGATTGGATTGAAGGCTGAGTGGACTGGTTTGTTGCTGGGATCTGATTGGATGAACAATTGGTTTAGCAGATCCATGCTGGGGAAGGATCCCCACTCCCTACACTTTCATACCAGTTCAGACTGTTTAAGCATGATGTAGCCTTCAAGCAGCAGACAGTTTCTCTTTCTCTCTCCCCCTCTCATACTTTCATACACACACACACACACACACACACACACACACACACACTCTGGTGAGCAGAACATACTGGATAGTTACTTACATCTTTGAACTTCATCTTCACCATTGGAAAATGGGTGTGATAATGCCAGCTATGTCACCAGTCTGTTGTGAGGATCTAATGAGAGACAAATGAGACCGAGCCTTATAGACTAGAAAGTCCCAAGTAGGCAGGAAATAAATATGATAGAGTATTTATAAGCTTAAAGATGTCCATACTACCCACCTCATGCCAAAAGAAGTCCAGTGAGGGGAGCGTGCTGTCTAGAGAGGAATGGCACAACTTCCTTTTGTGTTTCCATCTGTCAGTGGGAACTTCCTTCCTGCTCAAGACATTCAAGGAAAAATTAGAAGGCGACCATGGCAACAGGGCAGTGGAATTGGGGCTGAAAGAGTCTTTGCCTAAGCCCAACCTTAATAATAATGATAAAAAATGTTTTAATTTTAGAATAGATAATACATCCATTTGGTTCAAAAATCTAAACTTACATAAAAAGTAATACAGAAAGCCTTATTCCCACCCCTGTGCCTGTGTGCCTTGCCTCACTCACCCCATTTCCTAAGGAACCACTTCGGTTAGTTTCACGTGAATCCCTCCAGTATTTCTTTATGATGAATGACATCTAGTGAGCACTTTCTTTCTCCCAGGAAATCATCTAATAACATGTAACACTCTTTACATTAGTTATCTCATTCAATTCTCAGAACAGCCTCATGGGGTACGTGCTGACATGAGACCCCCATTTTACAGAGGAGGAAACTGAAGTCCAGAGGTTTCCAGTTGCTTCTGCTGCTGAAGCAACTTGCCCAAGTTCATTCAGTAAATATAGGGGTCTGTCTCCAAAGTGAGAGTTCGTGACCACTAGTCATCTGCCTCCCTGGTAAGTGCAGGGCTTTTTCTTTTCTTTTAAATAAATATATTTTTATTGATTTCAGAGAAAAAAGGAGAGGGAGAGAGAGAGAGAAACATCAAGGATAATGATTGATTGGCTGCCTCCTGCACGCCCCCCACTGGGGATCGAGCCAGCAACCCAGGAATGTGCTCTTGACCTGATTCAAACCTGGGACCCTTCAGTCCGCAGGCTGGCGCTCTATCCACTGCGCCAAACCAGCTAGGGCCAGCGTGGGCTTTTTCAAGCATCTGGGCTGAGCATGGGGGCATCTACGTTTTATTGCAGGCACTACCTGACTTTAGTCGCTGGCTTTCCTGACTGTACAACGGACAAATCAAACTCGGCACCTTCCAAAACCCCGGCGTGGAGCACCCCAACACTAACGCTTGCCCCCACCCTCTCTGCTCTCTCCACAGGACCGCCGCGAGAGCCGGCCCACCTCCCCGCCCTGGACGCCAGGCGCGTCCCGGCCCCCCAGCAGCCTGGACGGCTGGGTGAGCCCACGGCCATGGGAGCCCGCCCGCGGGGGCAGCATGAGCAGCCCCCCGCCGCTGCCTCCGCCACCCATGTCTCCTTCGTGGAGCGAGCGCTCGGTATCCCCACTGCGACCTGAGACGGAGGTGCGGCCCCCTAGCCGCCAACTGCAGGCTCTGCTGGCCCGAAACATAATCAACGCGGCCCGGCGCAAGAGCGCCTCCCCGAGGCCGGCGGGCGCCGAGAGCCTGCGGCCCTTCTCCCCGCCCAGGGCACCGCTGCCACCGCCACCACCACCGCGCATGCGCTCGCCGCAGCCTGCCCGCCCCGGCCCAGCAGCCACCCCGGGGGCCACGTTCGCCCCAATCCCGCGGAGCCCGCTGCTGGCTGGGCCCTCGCCCTGCGCCAGCCCCCGCAGCCCGCCGCCCGCACAGTCCAGGCCCTTCCCCTATCGCCGCTCGCCCACGGACTCCGATGTGTCCCTCGACTCTGAGGACTCCGGGGCGAAGTCGCCCGGCATCCTGGGCTACAACATTTGTCCCCGCGGGTGGAATGGGAGCCTGAGGCTCAAGCGTGGCAGCCTCCCCACCGAGGCTTCCTGCACCACCTAAAGCTTCCCCCTTCCCATCCCCGGAAGGCCGAGCTGGAAGAGATCTTGGCAGAGATCAACCTTGGGATATCTCAGCACCACATCCCCAAAGGGTCTGGCCCGTTTGGACAGCCCCAGAGAAAAGGGGTTAAGGGCCAGAGCTCTGGGCGTGGAGTAGTGATCCAAGCTTGGGTTCTAGCTCTAACGATATGATTCAGTCTGAGAAGGCTAAAAGGAGTCCTTGTGTGAACCTGGGAAAGACCCTTCCTCTGTCTGACCCTCAGCTTTTCCAATGAGGCTTTGGCCAAAGCAGTCTCCAAAAGTCTAAATGCCTCCCCCCCACACACACACACATACAGGCCCCCCCCACCCCCCACCCCCACCCCCGCCCCGGGCCTTGGAAGAGTTGATGCATTCCAGGGTTCCATACTCCCTCCCTTCCAGGCTCTCCTCTCTAGAGTCTGGCAAATGAGGGGTATGTTCAGAAGATCCTAGGCCTAAGTTCCCTGTCCAGGTCCTGGCTTGACCATCCTCCTTCCTGGCTCCAAGTGCCAGGCAGTAGCAGCTGTTTTCCATCCCTGCCCAGACAAGCTCTATTTTTACCACCGTGACCTTTAGTGAGGTCTCCCAGGCCAGCTCAAGGTGCCCCGCTCCTCTGGAGAGAAGAGGCAGGAAGATTCCTCCTCCCAGATCCCTCTTATACTTTTCTCCATCCCAGCTCAAACTGCCCAGGGCATCTTAACTGCAGCCCAAGAAGAGAGCTCTACCGCAATGATTTCCCCCAGGCCCAGGACTTGGGCCTCTAGGAATGCTATAGGTGCCTCCAACCCGTCTATCCTTTCTAGGCCCTTTCATAGCAGCCCTTTCAAAGCTGAGCCCTTTCAGAGTTGACATGGAGCTCTCTGCTGGCCTGTGGCTTTACCTGGTGGCCCTGAGTTTGAGGTTGGCCATATGGAAAGAGGGAAGCAAAGATTTCCTTGTTATCGGATGTACGCAAGCAGTGGCCAGATGCACAGAAGATATTCTAGTAGAAAATAGATTGGCTCAGATGACCCGAGGGCTCTTCCAGTCCTGAAATGCATTCCACAGTAAGGGAAGGGAAGGAGAATACTGGTGGAGAATTGGATGGCAAAATTCAGGGGCAGGTGAGCTAGAAGTTAGCCCAGAGCCAACCTATGTTTCTGGTTTCTTAGGAAGCACCCACTCTTCAGTTCCAGGCCCCAGCATCCATATCATACCCTGATGAGTGGGCACTATCTATCTCCTTCCCATTGCACTCTGGCCTAGCTAGTACCCAGTACCCAGTGACCTTGGGGAGCCTGGTAGCAGGCTTTAGCATGTCCTTTAAATCCTGGTGGCTCTGACTCCAATTCCCAGAGGGACATGGGGAGGAACTGGCCAAGTTCCACAGTTTCCAGAGTTGGCTGTGATGCCCTCTAGAAGTTCAGAATATTTACTTTAGGATATTAAGTGCAGGGGTGCAGGTGGGGGTGGTGGTGTTAGAACTGGCTGAAGATCAGAGGTGTGTAGGTAAAAGGATACCAGGATGTTGCTAAAGATGAAGGATAGAGTGTGATTTTGGATTAGGGGTAGACTTACCCTAACCCAAACTCACTTGTTAGACCTGGAACCCTTAAATGAAGCTAGGAGAAGCTGAGGATCAGGATGTGACTGGGGTGCTTTGGAATAAAGAAGTGATCCCAGAGGGTTCCTAGGGTATAAGGATTGGGAACACAGGCTCTGTTGGTGGGAAGATGAGGGGGTCAATGATGAGTGACCACATTTACCAAAGTCCTCACCTGCTTCAGGGTCCCTTGTAACATAGAAGCCAAGCTAAGGCCTGTTTCAAAGAAGAGACATTATTAGGCCACTGGCTGAGGCAGTGGCATAGAACATCTACTTCTACCTGCATTTACACAAAGAGCCAGCAGGAGGCAGCCTTGAAAAGCTGCAGTTCTGTCTGGCTATTCCCTTGCTTCACTGCCTTCTCCCTATCTTCTCCTCTAACCCACTAGAGATTGCCTGTGTCCTGTCTCTTGTCTCCTATAGAATTCAGCTCTGGCCCTAAATAAATGCTTCCTGAATCCTTTTGCCTCCTAGGTCATTTTCAGCTGTGTCTAAAGCCCTTCCTTTCTCCCCAACCACGGGACAGTCCATGGGACTTAGGGTGGATGAGAATGTTTGATACACATGGGATGGGAGCTTGAGAAGTAGCAACCATGAGAGATAGGGAACAACATAAAAACTCCAGGCCATAGGAGATGTCACTGAGTTGAAGACCTGGCTCTATCATCTACTAGCTACGTGACCCAGGGTAAACCCACTCCTTTTCTCTTTAGGCCTCAGCTTCCCTATCTGTGTAATGAGTGAGCTGGGCTAGCTGATGTCTCAGGGTGGTATGGCCCAGGCCCTGACCACAAGGCACTGTCACTGGAGTATGCAGGGCCAAGCTGGGCAGGGCTCAGTGCTCTGGGCTGCTTCCTCAGAAGCAGGTCAGAGCTCCAGGCAAGAGCAGGAGGTAATGTTCAAGTCCAGACAATCTAGTGAGAGCAGGACAAACCATTAGGAGTGCTCCTCTCCTGATGGGGGCATCCTTTGCCCGAAGAAGGGAACTGTGGCCCCACTCCCAGGTGAGGCCATGCTTGCCCTAGGAACATTCCTCACCTTCCTATCTGGATGCTCAGGCCCTGCAGAGGCTGAGCAGAGGAACCCAAGTGGAAGGAAGCCGCGCCCAGGCCATCCACAGCAAAGTCCAGGCTCTTCATAAGAAGGTTGTCAGAAATACGTCCTTAGACAGTGTCTGTCACACAGGTACAGATCTCCCTGCCCAGACCTTGTGCAACCTTGCTGCTCCCACCCTTCCATGGGAGTAGTTGGTATGCCTCTCCCCCAATCTTTATTTTTAGCTGGAATGCAGTATCCCCCCTGCCCAATCTGCTCCTCCTGTTACCTTCCTTAGTCACCTAAGCCAGATACCGGAGTGGCCCTCTCCTCACCTCCCACATTCAATCTCTCACAAGGACCTAGTGATTCACCAAATACCCCTCAAATCCCTCTCCTCCTATGGATGCCCTCTGTCACTGCCCATTAAGCCACTCATCCCTCCCCTAACCATAGTGAAGGCCTGCCTCCAGTATGACCCCTTCCCTGCCCCCCCGCCCCATTTTCCATATGGCAGCCAGAGACATCTTTGGAAAAATGCCAATCTGACCGCTCCATCCCACCACTTTAAACTCTTCACGGCTCTTTAGAAAGCACACTTGCCTGTTGAAAAGCTTGCTGTGATCTGGCCCCTGCCCACCTGTCTGGCCTCATCTCTCAGCACTGCCCCACCCCCCAGTTCTGGCTCTTCTTGCCGACCTCCTACCATCTTTATACATGACCCGGCCTCTGCCTGCAATTCCTGTGTCCTCTCTCTGCCCAGTGAACTCCCACTCAGCCTTCAAGGCCCAGCTCAAATGTCTCTTCCTCTGGGAAGCCTTCCCCACCCCCAGGCTGAGCTGATGGCACCCTCCCCTGGGTCCTCCCAGAGCATTTCCCATGATGCGTCTCAAAGGCTTATTTACGGGCCTGACTTGGGCCTGGCTGAGCTCCTTGAGCACGGAGTCCTGCCTTAGTTATTTACAGTCCATAGAGGCTCAGAGAATGTGAGAAGGTGGAGGGAGAGAAGAAGGAAGGAGGCAGAAAGAAGAAGAGAAGGCAGGAAAGAAAGAATAAGTCAAACAAAGATACTGAAGGACAATTCATCCATCCACCCATCCATCTACCTATCCATCCATCCATCCATGCATCCATCCATCCATCCATCCAACAAATATCTATGGTAATCCTATCAGGCTCCATTCTAGGCACTAAGGATACAATTAGCAAGCTCAAGTGACCGGAGACTGACTCTCAGCATTTCCAGGTGACTTTGGTGTGTGCATATGAACGTTTGTGTGTTCGTGTGTGCAAAGCCTTCTGTCGGCAAGGGCCTGCTGCTGGGGCACCTGTCTTCCCTGGGGCCTGGTGCTTTTAGCATCTGTCCCTGGATCCTGTTGCAGCCCGAAATAAGGCTGTGAGCCACAACAAGGCAGGAACAATTCTCGTCAGCTGAAGCCAGAGCTGGCTGCAGGGCACACTCAGCTCTCTGACTGCCCGACGGCTGCACGGACACTGACCACCCAACTCTCAGCTCCCCAACAGAGGTGTTAATCTTGAGGGTCTGATATTCTCTCTGCCCACGGTGGTCCCAGCGCTCAGGTACCAGGATCCTAGGGGAATTAGAGGAGCTGTGGGGAGTGGGTGGAGGAGATGAGCCAATTCCCAGAGCCCCTTCCTGTCCAAGAAGGGGAAGGGACTGCAGAGTCTGGGGAGTGTGGGGCCTCATCGAAGCCTGAATCCTGAGTTGGGAAGGGAGGGATTCTAAGCCTAGGTTACTCTAGGTTAAATGGGGAAGGGGTGGCTAGGATTCATGGTGGGGGTTAGCTAATGGCTCTGCTCAGGATTCCAAGATTTTTAGGGAGTAGAGGGAAGTAGGGTGCCTGTCTGGAAAATGAGGGGCCCTTCCCAATGTCTGTGAATTTCTGAAAAGGGGGTGATTATCGAGAAACGGGTCTGCGGACTGTGGCGTCCTCAGGGGTCACAGCCGGAGCTCTCTCAATCATCTCATGACCCTCACCCAAATGCATGCAGACGTGCTCATGTTTGCATCATTTTAGGGGGCTCATGGATGCTTTTGAAGCCCATCCATGGATCCCCATGATCTAGCCCAACCCTTTATGTTACAGAGGGGGAAACTGAGTCACAGAGCTGGAGAGCAACTTGCTCAGTTATAGAGGAAGTCAGAGACACCGATTAGCTGCCAAGCCACCCAGCTCAGTGCCCTCTGGCCTAGGCTGGGAGTGAGTGTGGGGGTACAGATGGTAGGAAGGAATATAGGAAAATCTGGAAAAAAGCAGAGGTGTGTAACAGGGGTGTGTAATCTGTTGGGGGTTCAAAGGCTCTGCCTCCTCTTTTGGGGGGCAAGTTTGGGGATTTGGACTGGGGACCTGCAGGGGTTTGGGGGAGGTTCTGAACCTCATTTTATTTGCAAATTTCCTAGAAAGTGTCATGAGATACAAATGGGGGGGGGGATGGAGGAGGAGAAAGAGAAGGGTGAGAAAGAAGAGAGCACCATGGGGTACTAGACTTATTGGGGTGATCGCTTCGTAAGTTGTATAACTATCTAATCACTATGCCATACACCTAAAACTTATATAATTTTGTGTGTCAACTGTAATTTTAAAATAAAAACATTATTAAAATAAAAGGGAGCATCATGAAAGTCAGTTCTGGGGTGAGGGTATAGGAGGGGATGATGGTTTTCTCAGCTTCCTTGGACCAGCCTGTGACCTCAAGTCTTAGGGCCAAGTACTAGGGAAAGTAAGGGAGGGCCAGCCTTGCAGACCCCGGTGTCACCCATGCCTATCCACCTATACCCCTTCTCCCCCTGATGTAAACCTCCAACTTCTTTCAGCCACTGATCAGAGCTCACCTACATCAGTGGATGAAAATAGTTTGAGACCCCCACCTCCCACCCGTAATGTCCCAGAGTTTACCCCCTAAAGAGAGAGTGCTCCTCTAGCTGCATGGAAGCACTGAGCATCTCCCTCACTCTCCCTGGACTCAGCCTCCTCCTCTGTATGTAGAGACCCCAAAGGTCCACCCAGCTCAGACAGCCCTTGCTTGAGACCTTGGGGTGGGCTGGAGTTGAGTGGGCCAGGGACTTGAAGGAGGCATGGGAGGGCAATGGAGGCGGCCTGGCCCATGTGTGGATCATCTCATCTACAGGATGATCCCCAAGGAGCAGAAGGAGCCAGTGATGGCTGCCATGGGGGACCAAGCTGGACCAGGTAAGGTGGACCCAGCCTGTGTGCATTCCGCAGACCCCATCCTTTTTTGGTCCCAGATTGCAGTCACTTGGGTCTGCTGGCCCCAGGCCTACAAAAACAGGTGTGAGTTCCAGGCCAGCCCCAAGGGAGTGCCTGTGGAATCTGCCACCTGGGCTAGAAGCTCCCCAAAGCATTGGGAAGGGCGTTGCCCTGCTGTCCTCACATCCAGAAGTTGCAGTTGTGTGCCCTAGACCAAGCCTGGCCCCAGCTAAGTCCTTGCCTCAGTCTCAAATGGAACTCGGCGGGCTCTGATCCCAGATCCAGCCTTAACTGCAGCCCCAAGCTCCCCACACGCTTGTCCTTGCTTGGTGAAACTGCGTCTCACCGAGTCCCCATGGCAAGAGACAGGGGTTGGGGGGAAAGTGGGCAGGTGGCAAGAACAGGCTACCCAGTTGGACTCAAACCATTTCACTTAAAAACCGACTCATCCTAATGCATAAATCATCTAAAATACACGTTTATCAACTTTATAAGACCTCTCAGAACTCTTGGCATAATTTTTGGAATCTATTTACTTGGCCTACTTTAGAGCATTTCAAAAATTTAAAAAAAGCAAATTCAACTAAGTCAGGCCTCTCAAACTTTCATGTCAATCACAGTGACACGGTGTTGGTTAAAATGCAGATTGCCAGCATCCACCCCAAGGGTTCTGACTCAGTGGGCCTGGGGAGGGGGCCATGCATGGCCTTTTAGACCAGCACCTGGGTTATTACGACACAGATGGACAGTGAGCCGAGCTCTGATAAACCCTAGCCAAGGCCACTGCTAGGTTTTGCCTAAGAAGTACTTAAGCATATGTGAGTCATCCTCTTAACCTGTTTTATGTGTTCTTGCCTCCTTTTGTGTGAGTCAAGTTTTTTCTTTTATTCCATGATTTCATGTGCTGAAACACACAAACTTTGTGAAGTGTTTGGTTGGTGTTCTAACCAGAAGAATAGGGCCATGCATTCTCTCTTCTAAGCAATTAATTTGATCCCAAAATATTGGCACATATCATTTATGCCAGACTGGAAATATGTAAAATGTTGACTATTGCTAGGTTATTACTTAAAGACAATTTTGAAACTAAAGAAAAATATAAAGTAAAAAAACAAAACCAAAACTACCTCATGGTTTTGCTACCAAAAGACACCCATTGCAGAGTAAGAATAATGAAAATACCATTACTGTGTGCTTACCATGTGTCAGATACTGTGCTAAGAGCTTTGATGCTTTATGTTACATAACCTCCACAACAACTCTGTCAATTAGACATTATTATCACCATTTAGCAGATGAGAAACTGAGGCCCAGAGGAGCTAGGTGGTCACACATCCTAGTAGGTGATATAATCGCGATTTCACTCCAGATCTGCTTCTTTACTATATGGTTATACAAATAACACATCTATACATGTAAAAGCCTAAGTGACCGCCCGACTGGCTGGTAGCTATGACACACACTGACTACCAGGGGGCAGACGCTCAACGCAGGAGCTGCTGAGTTGAGGTGACTTGGCAGCTGTGGTTCTCAGGTGATGCACCGGAGCCAGAGAGGAGGGAGCCCGATTCTGGGCTGTGTCACCGGAGAACCACCTCTCGAAATCTGGGACCCCTCGGGGGATGTCAGGGAGCCAGTTTAGGCCTGATCCCCACAGGCCAGGCTGAGGGACCCCACTGGTGCACACAACCATGCACCAGGCCTCTAGTCATTTTAGAAAATATTCAGATAAAACAGACATGAAGGACTTTGAAAGTGAAAGTTCCTTCTAGTAGAACCATTTGGAGATAGCCAGTGTTCTAATATTTGTGTCAATCCTTTTTCTGTTCATATATAAACATGTTTATATAAGTGCAAATACGCGTGGGCTAAAGACTGTGTTCTTCAACTTAAATTTCTTTTCACTTAGCAGCATACCACAGACTCCTTTCCATCCTCACCACCTCCCCCCGCTTCCCTAGCATGTCATATGTTATATGTATTTATACTCATACAAACCTTCAAATGGTGTCATGAAGGCTCGTCTCAGGGTGGAACCCTTAGGAGCAGAGCCTGAGGATTCTTGAGCAAGTGACTTATTGAGGTTGCACTCTCAGGAGAAGTGAAGTGAAGTAGGACAGGGCAGGGGAAATTGCTGAGCAAGGATGTGGGCTCAGCTGTAGCCCAGATTCAGTCTGACCCTGGGGGTGCCACAGAATTCATCCCATCTTCAGCAAGGACCATGACCCCTTCTGTTCACCTGGGCAGTTCTCTGCAGAAGGTGGCAGTTGTGGGCTGTCAACCACTGATAAAGGGCACCTTGGCAGCATCCACCACAGACTGATCCCAGGTTTTGTAATTTGAAACCTCACTCTAATAAACATTCTTGTACTTATATCTTCGGGCATGTTTATTCCATTTTTCTCCCCAAGAATGAAAGTCAGAATTGCTTAGTCAAATAGCTTTTGGTTTGTAGCTTTTTTTCTTTTTTAAAAAAATATTAAGCTCTGTTCGTCTGGATAATATTTGAGAATATAATGCCAGGAGACTTTTTGTTATGTATTTGTTTTTTATGTTTTTGTTTCTTTCTTTTTCTTGTATTTTTAAGTGTGAAATACATTTTCTTGTTTTAAAAAAAATAGTGCAAAAAAATTACAATTTCTAGCCCTCCTTCTGCCTATGTCCCATAAGTCATCACTGCTAATATTAGGCATGTTCCTTGCAGATTTTTCAATGCATGTATGAACATATATTTATTTTTTAAATATACAAGTGGGACCTTAGAATATAAATTCTTCTGAAACGTGCTTTTTCCCCTTCTAACCTACAGCGGATTTCTTTATGCCCCTAACATGTAGAAGGTGCTCTCTCTACATCTGCTGAAAGAATGAAAACAACATCAACCTCCTTTTTAAAAAGGCTCTGTAGGAGTCCTTTGAATGGAATGAGTCACAGCCCCTGACTGGACTCAGTGCTGCCTGGTGACCACGTCTATCTCCCCGGCCTGTTCACCCACCCATGCTACTCTCAGACAACTTTGGCAACCTCTCTCCTCAACCCTCCAATGCCTCCTCCCCCATCTTCATTCTCAGTTAATGACCTTCTTATTTCACTGAAAAAAGTGAAGTCACCAGAAGAGAACATCTGCAAGCTGCCCCCTCACAGCTGTTCATTGCTTGGCCTTATGTCCACGTTCTCAGTTTTCCTTCCTGATGTGATAGATGAACTCTCCTTGCCAGTCTGAAGCCAACCCTTCTAGTTGGGCACTGGATGCCCTCCCTCCCTCTCTCTTACTCAAGGACAGATATTCCTTCAGTAATTCTCCACTCTCTCATTGCACTGTCAAATTTTCCCATCAGCTAACAAACATGCTATTATTTCTCCCTCTTTAGAAACAAACAAATAAACAAGCAACCCCTCCTGATTGCACAGCTGCCTTCACCATGGTCTAGAGCAGTGGTCGCTAACCGGTGGTCCGTGAGGTCGGAAAGGTTGGCGACCGCTGGTCTAGAGCACAGCTCCTCAAAGCAGTTGTCTCTATTTTCTTCCCCTTCTCTTCTTCTATCATTTTACCAAGCCAATTTCCAAACACACATAAAAGGAGAGTGCAAATCCCCATGGCCCTCCTTTCATTCCTGGAATCCAAAGCAAATCCCAAAGAGTATGTCATCTCATGCTCTAAATACTTCCGAATGCATAAAAATCATAAAAATGATTTCCTTACACACCACAAAGTTATCAGCACACAAAACAAAATTAGCAATAGTGTCTAATAGCCAGTCTTAGTCAACTTTCTCCAATCTTCTACTTTGTTATAATGAGGATTCAAATAAGGGCCATTGTTTCTATTTGGTTGCTATGTCCCTTAAATCTCCTTTCATCTAAAACAACCCCCACTTATTTTTCCCATGTCACTCACTCTTTTGAAGAAACCAGGCCAGTTGCCCTGTAGAATGTTCCACGTCCTAGATTTGGCTCATTGCTTCCTCGTGGTGTGGCCCAACGGTTCCTCTGTCCATTTTCTCTTGAACCCTCTCCAATAAGGCTTTGACACCCAATACTTCCCAGCAACTGCTTCTGTGAAGATCACCAATATAATGGCACATTACTAAATATCATCGTCAATTTAGCCCTCATCTTACTTGACTCATCAGCAGCATCTGACTCTGTTGATCAGCCCATCTTCCTTGAAATGCTTTAATCATTTGGTTTCCAGGACACCATGCTCTAGATTTCCTCCTGTTTCACTGGGTGCTCCTCCCGGGCTCCAGGGCTGTGTCATTCCTCCGTCTAAATGTTGGAGCCCCAGGCTATAAACTGGTTATTGTCTTAACTATAAGAGGAGAAATAAGTGTGATGTTCTTCATTGAAAACATCACACTTATTTCTCTTCTTATGCCCTAATCTTTATCTCAGGTCAGTTACCTCCCATGAGCTCGAGTCTCTCCACATGGATACATACAAGTCTCTTTAAACCTTATATGCCCAATTTTGAAGAAATTAGGAGACCTTAAATATGGAATAAGCATTATATAGAACAGAAATTTGCTCACTTGGAAAGGTGGAGATCTTAAACTGAATTCCCAACTCTCCCTATAGTTTCTCCTCCTCCAGACCTTCCACATCTCAGGGAGTGGCCACTCCAACCTTCCAGTGATTCAGGCCAGAAAGCCTGCGGTCGCCCTCCACTCTACCCTCTCTCTTCCGTATCCCTTACCCAGGGCTTACCTTTAAAGATATCGAGGACCTGGCCATTTCTCACTACCTCCACCGCTGTGGGCAAAGAGCTGCGCAGGAAATCCATGGAATAAGTAAATACAAATGGCCAAGGACATCTGAAACCATGCTCATTTCACTGTTAGACACATGCAAACTAAACTCTGAGGTGTCATCTCTGCCCACCAGGTGGACAGAGTCCACTGAATGATGGCACTCAGTGTTGGCAAGTGTGGGGAGAAGCTGGCATTCTCACACACCACGGACAGTGCCATGAAGAGATCTCCTTAGAAGTGTCTCTGAGTGGCCTGGCCTCTCCCTGCAGTCCCTTTGCTGGACCTGGGCAAGAAGCTGAGCATGCCCCAGGACTTAATGATGGAGGAGCTATCGCTACGCAACAACCGAGGATCCCTCCTCTTCCAGAAGAGACAGCGCCGTGTGCAGAAATTCACCTTTGAGCTTGCTGCCAGCCAGCGGGAGGTAAGACCCCATTGTGCTCATAGGGAAACTGAGGCCCAGAGAGGCCAGTGGTTTGCCTAAAACCAAAGAGCCAGGTAAGGACCTCTGGCACCTGGGAAGTCCCTCAAGCTCCAGCTAGAGAGGGCTGTGACATTCCCATCAGACTGACCCCCTGGCTTTGCTGTGTGAGCCTAGAAGTTTGTCTTCAGTGCACATCTCTCTCCCAAGACAAAATATAACATGGAGTGGGCAGGGGGAGCTGCAGAGTGAAGGGGCTCCAGCTCCTACCAATCGTGCTGAAAAATAGTCATGTGTGCTGGGCTGAATTTGCAGCAAGCTAAATTTAGATTCGACCTGATCTAAGATGGAAAACACAGAATGCCCCTTTCTCTGCTTCCCACTGGAAGAAGGACAAGACCACAGCCCAGTCAGCTGGTAGAGAAAGGAGGCAAGGATGCTTATTCTCAGGCTTCAAAAAGGCAGCAGGCAGTTTCGTCCACCCTAATGAACGCAGGGACATCTCATCCGTACTCCACCCAATTTCTGGATGAGACAGGAGGCAACTGAGTTTTATGGCAGAATAATGAAGATAACAAACACTTACCTTTGCTATGTATCTAAGACACAGGTAGCTAAGAACTTAAATGTTATCAGCTCATTTTTCACTCAAGAAGTGAGATTATCATCATCTCCATTTCACAGAGAGGGAAACAGGTTCAGGGAGGTTATTTGCCCAGGGTTAATATTATAGTAGCAACTATATACAAAGTATCTCTCTGTCCTAGGCACTGGGTTTAGGGCACTGCACAATTCACTCATAATCCCCCCCGCAACATCTCCAGGAGGTAGGTGCTAGGATTATGTGCCTCTCTTTTTTGTGGAGGGTGATCCCTGGCCCCTTGCCCACCCCTCACTCCCACTCCCAGACGGTGGCTGGAAGAGCACCTAGGGGACAGTGACTTGGAACAGGAAAACCAGGGACAGTGAGTCTGGAGGGAGATCCCACAAGAGGGGACACTGGGTGATGGGGTCTGCAATATCAAGGCTATCCATTGCCCAGGTTGCCAACAGCCTGGAGTTGCAAAACTGCCACTCAGAGCTCCACATCTTCCCAGCCGGGGACCCTGAGGATGCCCAGCCTGAAGCTTCCCGAGTGAAGCGCGCCCCTAGCCCCAGCGCCCTGGCACCAGGTGAGTGGCCTCCCCAATCTGGACCAAAGAGCAAGGGCAGGGTTATGGGGTAGGAATCAAGAGTGTGGGCACGCTGCTCCACAGTGGGGCAGGAAGAGAGCCCAGAGCATCTATTCCACCCCCTTCCCTATCCAAACACACACACCCCTCCATGGGCCTAACCCAAGAGGAGTAGCAACGCACCCCAGATCACACAGCAAGTCAAGATTAGAAGCTGAACCTCAACTGGTAATTCCCCTACTCCAATCCTCCTTGTTCCCAGGGATGGGTAAGGTTACCTTTTGAGGGAACAACTTTTGGCATCACCCTCCCTGCCACACCCCATATACACTCCCCTTTCCCACCTTTGGTCTTCCCTCCCCCAACCCCTTTCTGAGGTGGGTGTGGGTGTGGGGGCCCAGGGAGAAAGGAATCCACATGCCCTGCTCACCTCCAGGCTATGCCGAGCCACTCAAGAGCATCCCGCCAGAGAAGTTCAACCACACGGTCATCCCCAAGGGCTACCACTGCCCGTGGCAGGAGTTTGTCAGCTACCGGGACTACCAGAGCAATGGCCGAAGTCACACCCCCAGCCCTGCACAGTATCGAAATTTCAACAAGTAAGGCAGGGTGGGCAGCTGGGGGGGGGGGGGGGAGCGGGAGGGTGCACAGGTGCCAATCATAACCACAGTAGTAGCTGAATTTCCTGAGCACTTTCTACATGCCAGGCTGTATCTGAATACGCCATAAACATTTATTGAGCTCTTGGCCTCAGCACATAGTAGGTCCTCAATAAATGTACAGGGACTGTGCCACACATCTCATTGGATCCTCCCCGCAACAGGGTGAGGCTGGTGCTACAGTTTTCCCTATTCTGCCTGTGAAGAGACCTGTTCAGAAATATCAGCAACCTGCCCAAAGTCCCAAAACAAGAATGCGCAGGGCAGGGCTGGGGTCCAAGTCTGGGCTGTCTGACTCCAGAGCTTAGTTTCTTGTTGTCCATCACTACTGTGTGCCGCCTCTTTGATGCTCATAGAGTTATGCGTCCTTCCTGGGTGGGACCCCCAGATCTCACCGTCCTGGATAGCACAGCCTGTTCCTCATTTCCATCAATGCCTAGGAAGTGGCTTTGAGGCTGCACCAAAGCAGGGAGTAGCAGTGAGACGAATACTGGAGATGAGGGTCACAGAGGAGTGGTTTATACTGTTTACAGCATGGGGCCTCAACGTGGGCTTAAATGCAGATTCCTTACCTGACTGTGTGACCGTGGGAAAGTGACTTAACCTCTCTGAGCCTCCATTTCCCTATCTGTAAAATGAGACCTATTATTGTACCTACTTCATAAGATTGTTGTGAGGATCACATAAGAAGCCATAGCCAAAGTTTCTGGCAAGCAATAAGCTCTCAATAAACAAGAGCTGCTATTATTATCATTATTATTTACAGGTTGAAATGATAGTTGGAAAAGCTAATGGGGAATAAAAGGATATATTTAACATTCTGCCCTGAGGGCTCAGAAACAAATCATAGGGATCAAGACAGGAGCTTGGCACTGGAGGAAGACCTTGGGCTGGGGGATAGATTTCAATTGCAATTGGCTTCCTCAGACTGATGCTATTTCTGAAAAATGCTCCTCTGGCGTGGACCACAGTAAGTGTGAAAGTGGAGGGTCCATGGAGAGGAGGCCACAGTCCAGCTCTTCTGGCATCTGCTCAGACCACACGGGGAGACTATGTCTGTCTCACAAAAATTGATGGGTGGCGCCAGGGCCTGGAGACCAGGCCCCCTGAGGAAGAGCTGAAGGAACTGGGGGTGATGAGCTTTGAGAGGAGACTACTGAGGCGGCATGTGACTGCCCTCAAAGTCAGGGAGGGCCTTGATGGAAAGAATTAAACCCAACGGGTGTTGTGTGAGCCATGAGCCATTGGCAGATGTTCTGGGGTCTCTCGCCAGCCAGGCCTGTGCTCTCTCACCTCCTGGGGCCATCAGACCCTGCCTGCCCAGCTATTTAAAACCCTCAGCAGACATTCAGTCCTGACAGCCAGCTTCCAGGCTGGCCAGCTCAGGTTGCAGGCCCATCCATCTAAACCTCAGGTATGACAGACAGGCACATTCTCACCAGCAGAAGGGTCTTAGGGAGCCCTGAACCTAGATCCTTCTGGGGCAGAAGGGCCAACTGAGGCAGACTGAGGAGGAACAGCAGTGTTGGTGGCCAAGCTGTGCTCAGGAGCCAGGTCTCTGGGCTCCTAGTCAAGGGTCCAATTGTGAGGTTTGCATTGGCTTGGAAACATCCCAGCCTGTCCCTAGGGGGCCTGGCTGTTGCTGCCACAGCTGGGGTAGTCCAAGCAGAAACCCTGTCTCGGCTGGAACCCAGGCCCTGGCCCAAGTTTTGCCTTTCCACCCCAGGGGCAAGCACTCTCCTCTTCCCATTGGGCACAGCTTGTGGAGAAAACAGCACATGATCAATGCTTTTTATTTCTCTTAAAATTAAAGAATAGTTTTAAAGTCACATACTTACACTCTCTTAAAAACAAACTAACTATGCAACTACAAAAGAAGGGTTTCTTTGTCCTCAATCCCAGTTTCCTTTCCAAAGGTAACACTGTTGTCAGGTTGGTGTGTAAGTTTTCAGAACATTTTCTAGGAGCAGCCACATACCTATAGGGGATATAGCATTGTTTTGTGTGTATACATGTGTTTTAATACTTTGCATCTTTTTGTAACTTGCTTGCTTTTTTCACTCAACATGACGCTTTTAAAATCTACCCTACTCTATATTGATCTTTTCATTCCTTTTGAGCTACTGTATAATATTCCATCATGTGACTACACTACTTCTGTTGTGTCCGTTCCTCTGCCAATGGACCTGGATTGTTTCTGGCTTGTCACTAATCCCTGCTCATATCTGCTTCCTTGTGCATATGTGCATGCGCTTCCCGAAGCCATATGCTTACAGGTAGAGTTGCTGGATGGCAGAATTTGCATATTTTCAGGTTAAAATGATCCTGCTAAACTATCCTCCAAGGGAGTGGCACCAGTGTGCCCTCCAAACAGTAGTATATGAGTGAAGCTCTGCCCCATTATCCAATCATTTCTTCTTGCCAGTCTTATGGTTAGAAACGCAGGTCTATTATAATCTGCACTTCCCTGATTCTCAATGCTCTTTCTCGTCCTCCCCTTTTACTTCAGTTTGTGGCATGTTTCTCTGAGGGGAGATGAAAAGACAAAGGAAACACCCTGTTCCAACTCTGCTGCCTTCTGGAGCTTGCTTATGGGGAACCTAGAGTTCTGCTTAGGACAAGCCAATCCCAACTCTGAAAACTTGGCTCCAATTTCTAAGCAACAAGCCATCCCGACTAGGGGCAGAGCTAGAGAAACCTGTTAAAGGTAGTGCAAAACCTTGCTGTACAGAAGGGAAAACTGAGTCCTAGAGAGAGGCAGGGAGAGGCCCCACATAGACCCGCATGTCAGTGTGCTGCCATCTTGTTCCTTCCCAGCCCACCTCTCCTGCTTCTCTTCTTCCCCTAGGACCCCCGTGCCGTTTGGAGGACCCCTGGTGGGGGAGACCACATCCAGGACAGGCACCCCCTTCCTCCCAGAGCTCACCAGTGGCTTGGAACTCCTCCGACTCAGACCCAATTTCAACAGAGTGGCCCAGGGCTGGGTCCGCAACCTCCCAGAGTCTGAGGACCTGTAGCCCAGCCTTCAGTCCCCGGTCTCAGAGTTTGGGGAATACCAGGAGCCGAGATTTGTGGACTGCACTTCACAGTTTACAAAGGGCCTTCACACACAAAACCTATTGCAAATGGCCTCAAAGGTCACAAAGTTCGGTAGTTCACAGATAATGGGGTTTAGAAAGTTTTTCCTTTTACTGAGATGCAGTTGTCTTTATTCATGCTCTAACATTTACTAAGCACCTACTATGTGCTAGACATTGTGACAGCTCCATGCAGAGGAGTCTGGTCCCTGACCTAGAGTAGGAAAAGATAGTAGGGAAGACAGAATTGTAAAGCAGTAAATTATCTTAATTTTTCCTAAAGCACCTGCAAAACAAAATGTAGTGAGGCAGCGGAGGGCATCTCAAACCCTGGGTGTGGGTGGGTGGGGGAGGGGGGGTCAATTCCAGGAGATCTGAACAGGACTTCAGAGGAAGAGGAAGAGTCGATGAAGGGAAGAGGGTGTGACTCCAGGGGAGGCACTCTTGGCCAGTGGGCCAGGGTAAGCTGGAAAGGTGGAGACCTGCCACAGGGCAGGGTGTTCCGGAGCAGGGAGAGGGCTGTGTTTAAGCAGTTGGTGACTCCTTGGAACAGTGGTCGCCAACCGGTGGTCTGCGAGGTCCAAAAGGTTGGTGACTGCTGGTTTAAGGAAACCTTTGGAACAGTGTCGCCAACCGATGGTCCGTGGACCACTGGTGGTCCGTGAGGTCCGAAAGGTTGGTGACTGCTGCCTTAGAAGGCCAGGTTGGGGTAAGCTGCAGTAAGAAAATGGGGAAGGTTCTTAAGCTGGGGAGTCTGGGGTCTCAGTGGTTGCTATGTGGGCACAGATTGGAGTCAGGAAGCCTTCCAGGAGCAAGGCCTGAACTAGGGAGGTGGCCACGGGGATGGGAAGAAGGGACACCTCCCTGGGCACCTTGCAGGACAGGTGCAAAGTGGAGTACCTGTAAAGACTCCTTCCCACTTCCTTCTGCTCACCACTCTGAGCAGGCCTTGGGTAGATCTTGCCTAGTTTCCTATAGAAGTCATTCAGGGCTCTACTCTGGCTCACTAGGAAAAGGAGAGAAAGGAATGCCTTAATTCAAGTGGTAATGAGGATGTGGTGATGATGATGGCAGCTTTTTATTGGATGCCTCAGTGCTTCAGCTGCTAGGAGGTTCTCTATACATCCAATTTCTAAAATTCAGTAAACCCTAAAAAAAAAAGTATTGTCCCATTTTACAGATGTGAATATCCAGGCTCAAAAGGAGAAAAGGGCTTGTCCAGGGACAGAGCCAAAATAGATACTGTCCTATTCCAATGAATGTCTTTTTGTACTGGGTGGCCAACCCATTGCCTGCTCACTCTGGAATCACCTCTTAATAGTGCCCTGCCTTAGAGTTTAGAGGTTAAGAGTGCAGGCTGGGAAGTCAGACTGAATGGGATGGTTCTAATTGCCACTTCCAGCCATTTCTCCCCTGTGGGCCTCTGTTTCTCACCTGTAAGATGAGGACAAGAATAGTAGCCCCTGTAAGGGGTTGTTGCGAGCACAATGATGGACACATACATAATGAGCGCTAGATCATTAGACTTCATGCAACTACTGCTCTGAACTGAAGAGATGATCTTGCAGTGGATGCAGCTTGAGAAGCAGGCCTAGGATGAGACTGGAGATCAGTAGAGCTGAAGCCTGAAGGGAAGCAAGCCTCTGATCACTGCAGGGCTCCCTTGACCCATGAATCACCTCTTTCCCTTGCTTCCACCCGCCTCTTCCCTGACCCCATTTCTCTTGAGGAGATGAGAAGGCCAGGAATCCATCTGGTTCCCAGGGCATGTGGGATAGCGGTTACCTTTTCCTTCTGCTCTGGACTTTCCCTGTGTCCCACACAGTCTCAAGGGGCAGCAGCCTGACTCTGAGAATTGTTTGCAATCAATGTGTCTTGAATTTGGGCACTGCTGTTTAAAGCCATGTTTCCATGTGCTGAAAACCAACCATTAAAGTGTCCTAAACAAAGAAGAGCATTACGACCACCTTAGGTTGGCTCTGCCGTGCTCTGGAGGATAATGGCAGCCACCACAGCACAGCTGACAAGAGCCTGATGAGGAGCCTGCTACACCCAAAGCAAATCCTCATTCCTTCCTTCTTTTGTTAATATGACTTTCACTGATGTTGTTTAAAAAAAAGAAAGAATTCTTACTGTAAAGATTTATATACAAACAAATAAAGGGAAAAGTAAAATGTGAAGGTATCTGCCCACATAGCTCCTCCCCTTCAACACAGACCTTCCTGCCTTCCTGCACTCTGCCCCATTCCCACATACCATAGGTAACCACTGGTAGCAGCTTGGTGCTTCTAGAATTCTAGGATTATTTGGAAGAGATAAATATGTACAGTGTATAGCTGCGTAAGTGCACAGACATGTTTTTGTTTTCATAGGATCATACTGTATTATATTGTATTTTGCTTCTTTATTCAACAATAAGTAAAATGTGGATCCTGAAAAAGCCATGTCATTAACCTTTCATGTAATTTAAGGGCCCAAAACCCTTCATATAAAACTCTATACTTTTGCCTGTTTTGTTCTTTATGTAAATGAAATCATAGTGATATGGAAATGAAAAGGACGGAGAACAGCCAAAGCATTGGGAACCTGACATTAGACATAGCAGCCCTGAACATGAATGAACTACAGTTCCATGCAGCAATACAGAGGCATCTCAGAAACAAAGTAGTAAGCAAAGGGAGACAGGTCCATATGCATATGTTTAGTGATGCAAGGCAGTGTTAAATAAAGTCAGGGTAGTGGTAACTTTGGGAGAAAGAAAGGGTTGTGCTTGTGAGAGGACAAACTTCTGGGAGAGCTGGACATTTTCTATTTCTGTGATTGTGACACAGACATTGACTTTAAAATACTTAATTTAGTTGTAAATTTGTGTTTTATGCACTTTTCTGTACATATGTTATATTTTACTAAAATAATCCCTCCTTTTAAAAAAGTTAGTAGATTAGTAGCAGATTAGATGAACACGAAGAATTAGTGAACTAAAATCAGCATTAAATATACTTGAAGAATTTGCAAACCCCCACAATGGGATGAAATGGACAAATTCTTAGAAAAATACAATCTCCCAAATCAAATCAGGAAGAATCAGAAAACCTGAATATGCCAATAACAACTGATGAAATAGAAGCAGTAATCAAAAAAGTCCCAGCAAACAAAAGCCCTGGTCTGGATGCATTCACAGAGGAGTTTTACCAAACATTCAAAGAAGAACTAACACCTATCCTCCTCAAACTATTCCAAAAAATCCAAGAGGGGGGAACACTTCCAAGCTTTTTATGAAGCCAGCATTATCCTACTTTCAAAACCAGATAAAAACACTACACAAAGAAAGAGAATTACAGGCCAATATCCCTGATGAACATAGATGCTAAAATCCTCAACAAAATATTAGCAAATTGGATCCAGCAATATATTAAAAAGATCATACACCAGGACCAAAGGGGATTTATTCCAGGATGCAAGGCTGGTACAATATTCGAAAATCAATAAACGTGATACATCACATGAACAAACTGAAAGGCAAAAATCACATGATCATATCAATAGATGCAAAAAAAGCATTTGACAAAATCCAACACCCATTTTGATAAAAACGCTCAGCAAAGTGGGAACAGAGGGAGCATATCTCATCATAATAAAGGCCATATATGACAAAACTACAGCCAACATCATGGGCAAAAACTAAAACCATTTCCCCTAAGAACAAGAACAAGACAGGGATGTCTGCTTCACCACTCTTATTCAACATAGTACTAGAAGTTCTAGCCACAACGATCAGATAAGAAGAAGAAATAAAAGGCATCCAAATTGGAAAGGAGGAAGTAAAACTCTCATTATTCGCCAATGACATGATATTGTATATAGAAAACCCCAAAGACTCCACCAAAAAACTACTAGATTTAAGAAATGAATTCGCCAATGTAGCAGGATACAAAATCAACACCCAAAAATTGATAGTTTTTTTTTATACACCAATAATGAATCCTCAGAAAGAGAAGCTAAACAAACAATCCCATTTACCATTGCAAAAAAAAAAAAAAAAAAAAAAAAAAAAATTAAGATACTTAGAAATAAACTTAACCAAGGAGGTAAAAGACTTGTACTTGAAAAACTACAGGACTTTGTTGAAAAAGAGATAGAGGAAGATATAAACAAGTGTAAGAATATATGGTGTTCATGGATTGGTAGAATTGACATCATTAAAGTATCCATACTACCCAAGGCAATCTACAGATTATATGTAATCCCCATTAAAATACCAACAACATATTTGCTAGAACAAATACTCCAAAAATTTATATGGAACCAAAAAAGACCCTGAATAGCTGCAGCAATCTTGAGAAAGAACAAAGTTGGAGGAATCACAATACCAAATAATCAAGTTTTACTACAAAGCCACCATAATCAAAACAGCCTGGTACTGGCACAAGGACAGGCATATCTACACTAATAAAAGACAAACATGCAAATTGACCTTACCTTCACTACACCTTAAGCCATGCCCACCAGCAAATCAGAGCAACTATATGCAAATTAACCCAACCAAGATGGCGGCCGGCAGCCACGGAGCTGGAGCAAGCAGGAGGCTTGGTTGCCCCAATGATGTAGGAAGCCAAGCTTCCCACCTGCCTCTGCCAGCTCTGAGCTCCACTCAAAGCAACAAAGTTTCAATTATAGAAGATAAATAAACCCCAGATACCTGCTTTCAGCAGGTCGTGGCCACGGAGCTGGAGCCTTGGGTTGCCCCTGGCGATGGAGGAAGCCAAGCTTCCCTCCTGCCTGCCCTGGCCAGTTCTGAGCTCCACTTCAGGCTACAAAGTTTCAATTATAGAAGGTAAATAAATCCCAGAATAAAAAAGAAAAAAAGGAGAGGCTGGGAGCTTCCATCGCCAGGAGGGCTTGGCCAGCCTGAAAACGGCCCTCAGCCCCTCACCCAAACTGGCCAGGCACCCCAGTGGTGACCCCCATCCTAAAAGTGTGGCCAGCCTGCAAACAGCTATCAGTCCCTCACCCAGGCTGGCCAGGCACGCCAGTAGGGACCCCCACCCTGAAGGGGGTGTGACCAGCCGGCAAACACCCATCAGCCCCTCACCCAGGCTGGCCAGACACCCCAGTGGGGACCCCCGCCCTGAAGGGGGTGTGACCAGCCTGCAAACACCCATCAGCCCCTCACCCAGGCTGGCCAGGCACCCCAGCAGGACCCCCACCCCGATCCGGGACACACTTTAGGGCAAACCAGCTGGCCCCCACCCGTGCACCAGGCCTCTATCCTATATAATAAAAGAGTAATATGCAAATTGACCCTAACAGCAGAGTGACTGGGAATGACTGGTCACTATGACACACTGACCACCAGGGGCCAGACGCTCAATGAAGGAGCTGCCCCCTAGTGTTCAGTGAGCTCCTACAGGGGGAGCTCTGCTCAGCCACAAACCAGGCTGATGGCTGCCAGTACAGTGGTGGTGGTGGGAGCCTCTCCCGCCTCCTCAGCAGTGCTAAGGAAGTCTGACTGCAGCTTAGGCCTGCTCCCTGCTGGCAAGTGGACATCCCCCGAGGGTTGCCGGGCTGCCAGAGGGATGTCTGACAGCCAGCTTAGGCCCAATCCCCTGGGGAACAGGCCTAAGCCAGCAGGTGTTCATCCCCCAAGGGGTCCCAGACTGCAAGAGGGCACAGGTCGGGCTGAAGGACACCCCCCCCACCCCCCGAGTGCACAAATTTTTGTGCACCAGGCCTATAGTCTATATAATAAAAGCCTAAGCAACCCTTACGGCGGAACAACCAGAACAACCGGTCACTATGGTGGTCAGTGTGCTCCCACAGGGGGAGCGCTGCTCAGCCAGAAGCCGGCTCACTGTGGCGGAGGCAGGAGCCTCTCCAGCCTCCACAGCAGCACTAAGGAGCAGTGAGCCAAGCAGTAAGGAGCAGCAAGCAGGCGGGCAGTAAGGAGCGAGGGGTCCCAGACTGCGAGAGGGATGTCCGCCTGCCGGCTTAGGCCTGCTCCCCCCTGGAGAGACCCCAGAAATAAACCCAAGGCATTACACTCAATTAATATTTGACAAAGGAGACAAGAACATACAATGGAGTCAAGACAGTCTCTTCAATAAATGGTGTTGGGAAAAATGAACAGATACATGCAAAAAAAATGAAACTAGATCACCAACTAACACTATACACAAGAGTAAACTCAAAATGGATAAAAGACTTAAATGTAAGTGGTGAAACCATAAAAATCCCAGAAGAAACCATAGGCAACAAAATCTCAGGCATCTCTTGTAGCAATATGTTTATGGATCTATCTCCTAGGGCAAAGAAAACTAAGGAGAAAATAAACAAATGGGACTACATCAAAATAAAAAGCTTCTGCACAGCAAAAGAAAATGAAAAGGGAGCCCACAGTATGGTAGAACATATTTGGCAATGATACATCTGAACTTGTATGCATATATGCATAACCCATGGACACAGCCAATAGGGTGGTGAAGGCCTGGGGCAGAGTGGGATAAGTGGGGTCAATGGGGGAAAAGGGGGACATATGTCATACTTTCAACAATAAAGATTTTAAAAAAGAAAAAAATAAAAGTGCCCATAATGTATCACAGAGAAGTAAAGAAATGGAAAACATGAGAGAAAAAAGTTAAAAGACATGGAAAATAAAATTAAAATGTTCAACACTACCACCAGGAGTTCCAGAAGGACTGTAAAAATGACTGAGGGTTTCTCAGACTTGATGAAAAACATAAACTCACATAGTCCTCACCCTGCATGAGGAGGATAAATTAAATCCGTATTTCAGAAACACTATACTAAAATTATACAACTCCAAAGTCACAGAGAAATGTCAAAGGCACCCAGACAAAAAAGTTAGATTACCTACAAAAGAACAACACTTAGATGAAAACAAAATCTTCAAGAAGAGCCAAATAAATAAATTTTCAGACAAATAAATATTAAAGAGTTTTCCACTTACCCCTGCAAGAACTACAAAAGAACCTTATTTTGGGGAGGATCCAGAAAGAAAGCATAGAATTTAAGAAGCAACAGTAAGCAGAGAAATCAATTCCACAGGCAGCAGAAAGGATGCAAAAGAAGCAAAGACAAATAAAATAAAGTGATATAAATACATTCGACCATATCAGTTATCACAACAGATATAGATGTATAGGACTCACCAGTTTAAAGACAGATTCACAGATCAGATAATAAGTAATTCCAGCTCCATGCTGTTCACAAGCAGCACTCCTAAAAACATAACACAGAAATAAAATAAAGAAGTGGAAAAGGATAAATCAGTCCAATACAATCCCAAAGAAATGTGTTCTATCCAGCCAATTGTGCTCAGTGGTTGAGCGTCGACCTATGAACCAGGAGGTCATGGTACTATTCCCGGTCAGGACACATGCCTGCGTTGCAGACTCAATCCCCGGTGGGAGGCGTGCAATAGGCGGCTGACCAATCATTCTCTCTCATCATTGATGTTTCTCTCTCTCCCTGAAATCAATAAAGATATATTTTTTTAAAAAGAAATGTGTTGCCGAAACTGGTTTGGCTCAGTGGATAGAGCATCGGCCTGCGGACTGAAGGGTCCCGGGTTTGATTCCGGTCAAGGGCATGTACCTGGGTTGCGGGCATATCCCCAGTGGGAGATGTGTAGGAGGCAGCTGATCGATGTTTCTCTCTCATCGATGTTTCTGGCTCTCTATCTCTCTCCCTTCCTCTCTGTAGAAAATCAATGAAATATATTTTAAAAAAAAAAAAAAGAAAAGAAAAAAAAGAAATGTGTTCTACTCTCATACACTGTTGGTGAAATTATAAAATGGTAGAGACACTATGGAAAGTAGTATGGAGGCTCCTCAATTAAAAATAGAACTACCATTTAATCCAGCAATTCCACTTCTTGGGTATATATCCAAAGAAATCCAAAACACAAATTCAAAAAGATATATGCAGCCCTGACCGGTTTGGCTCAGTGGATAGAGCGTCAGCCTGCGGACTCAAGGGTCCCGGGTTCGATTCCGGTCGAGGGCATGTGCCTTGGTTGCGGGCACATCCCCAGTGGGGAGTGTGCAGGAGGCAGCTGATCGATGTTTCTCTCTCATTGATGTTTCTGACTCTCTATCCCTCTCCCTTCCTCTCTGTAAAAATCAATAAAATATTTTTTTTTAAAAAAAGATATATGCAACCTTATGTTCACTGCAGCATTATTTACAATAGCCAAGATATGGAAACAACCTAAGTGTCCATCAATAGAGAAGTGAATAAAGAGGTGGTGCATATATACAACAGAATATTATTCAGCCATAAAAAAAGAAGGAAATCTTGCCATTTGCAACAATGGGTGGATCGACCCAAGCTAAGTGAAATAAATCAGACAGAGAAAGACAAATACCAGATGATTTCACTTATGTGTGGAATCTAAAAAAAACAAAGTAAATGGACAAACAAAACAAAACAAACTCATAGCTACAGAAAAAACTGATGGTCACCAAATAGGAGGGGGATTGGGTGGATGGGCAAAAAAAGTGAAAGGGATTAAGAAGTACAAATTGCCGTTATAAAAATAATCATGGGAACATAAAGTACAGCATAAGAATATATTCAATACTATTGTAATAACTATATATTGTGCCAAATGGATACTAAACTTATTGAGGTGGTCTAGTCACTATGTTGTACACCTGAAACTAATATATCAACTATAATTGGAAAATAAATTTTTTAAAAAGAAATGTGTTCTAGCCATATTACTAGCAAAGTAAGACTTTCTGACAAAAAGTATTATTGTGATAAGGATCTTTACATAATGATAAACCTATATTCATAATAGAAGATTTAATAGAGTTTTTAAATTATTGACCAGTTATCAAACAGATGAGTAAAGATATAGAAAATTTGAACAAAATAAAAACGTAGAATCCTGTACCAGCAAATTAGAGAATACTCATTATTTTCAATTACCTATGAAACACTTTTAAAAAATGAACACACAAAATTAAAAACTTTTGTGTATCAAAGGACACTGTCAAGAGAGTGAAAGGCAACTCACAGAATAGGATTATACCTCAGAGAATAAACATCCATGAATCCACAGTGATGTAAATAAATGACTCAAAAGGGGGAAAAGGGACAAGCCTTACTTTTTTAGACTTCCAAATACATATAATCCCCCCACCCAGAGGAGGGTCGTAATTCCCCTCCTACTGATTAGACTGGGCTTATTGGTTTCCAAGAATAAAGCATAGCAAGGGAAAATATTACCTTTACCAAGAAACCTGCGACATCACCTTAACCAGTGATCAAGCCAGAGACCTGGGGACAGAGGTCACTCTACCCTCTCCTCTTTCACCTCCATTTACTTCAGGTTCAATGTCTCACTATAATTTGCCTTCCAAAAATCTGGCATATCACTCTTTGCCCCGTGGGCAGTCACTTCAGTTGTCATGATGCGATTCCTTCTGAGCCTTCTCCATGAGGGGAGCAGCTCAAAATAACAGGTAGTCAGAAGGGTTAGGAGGTGAGGCATTGATTCAACAGAGATAAGTAACATGACCAAGGTCACACATCCAGGAGGTGCTGAAATGAGGATTTGAAATCAGGTAATCTGGCTCTAGGTTCTGTTTCAACCATTGCCTGGTATAAACAAAAGTGAGTTTTTTAAAAACATTTTTATGATCAAGTTTGACTACATCTCAGTAGAGGAACACTAGCTGCTGTAACAGAAAAGTCCCCAGGTCTCAATGGAATCCTCAGATAACAGTGCTCTCAAGGCAGTGACAGGGAAACCCACTCCCTTCACTGTGACTGCCACCTTCCAGAGATGGACCTGCACATTTAACCAGCAGATTGGGGGGGGGGGGGGGGGAGAGAGTGGGGAGATCTCATAGGGTTGGGTGAGATGTTGTCACAGACCAGGTCTGGGGATGGCAAAGGTTACTTCTCACCAGTGTACCCCCAGCTGTGTGCCCTAGAAGAGAAAGAAATGGAGTTTGGTGAGCACCTATTTTTGCCAATATCTAATTGCTCATAATTCTGACTTAAGAAACACTAATTGAGCAACTATTCTACACTTCAATTTACACTGCCTTATGCTTTTCAAAAAATACGTATATATCCATTGCCAGACAGTGCACAAAATTTAGAATCTCTTCCTTCTCAAAAAGGCAATATACGGCTGAAACCGGTTTGGCTCAATGGATAGAGCATCGGCCTGCGGACTGAGGGGTCCCAGGTTCGATTCCGGTCAAGGGCATGTACCTTGGTTGTGGGCACATCCCCAGTAGGGGATGTGCAGGAGGCAGCTGATCAATGTTTCTCTCTCATCGATGTTTCTAACTCTCTATCCCTCTCCTTTCCTCTCTGTAAAAAATCAATAAAATATATTAAAAAAAAAAGGCAATATACGATTGGATAGTCATACGTTTACTTATGCATATATATATTTGGCAATTATTTGGCAATAGGATTGCCAAATTTGGCAATTATTAAAACACTACATGATTCATATCTTATTCACAAGTTAAAATCTTCTATATGCTCAAAAGTAAACAAAAAAACCCACAAACCCAAAACCCTATCCAAAATGGTGTCAAAATATTTGAAAGTACCCTATATTCCTAGAAATAAAATCAAATTTTTGAAGTGTTTCTAATTTTTATCTTTTTTCAAAAAACAACACAAAACTCTCTAGAGCAGTGGTTCTCAACCTTCCTAATGCCGCAGTCCTTTAATACAGTTCCTCACGTTGTGGTGACCCCCAACCATAAAATTATCTTCATTGCTATTTCATAACTGTAATTTTGCTACTGTTATGAATCGTAATGTAAATATCTGATATGCAGGATGTATTTTCATTGTTACAAATTGAACAAAATTAAAGCATAGTAATTAATCACAAAAACAGTATGTAGTTATGTGTGTTTTCCGAAGATCTTAGTCTACCCCTGTGAAAGGGTCATTCAACCCCCAAAGGGGTCGCGACCCACAGGTTGAGAACCGCTGCTCTAGAGGAAAACACAAATTCTCCAGTGAAGCAATGGTGTTATATGGAGTATGTTCATCCCATAAATACATATTTTCAATAAAAATGACATGGAATTTTGCCTTCAGAAAAAAGGGATTTGTACATAAATTTTGCATTTCCTTTTCAAATGACTTGTATAATATGAGAATGATTTTAAAGTTACCATTTATCAACCACCTGCTGGCTGTGGGCCTTTTTATCATCAGAGTGGACAGAGATAAAAATCAAGTCTAAAGCAAAAATTTACATTTATATATAGCTTGTTTTTAACTTCCATTAACCCCAGTTCATCTACCAAAGGATAAAGAAAACAGAAATCTAGAAATAAGCCCATGACATTTGGAAAATTTACCCGTTTTAATTTTTTAAAAACAAAAAAATAAAACACAACACAACATCAAATTATGTTTTACCATCTACAATTCAGTTATATCCAAACATCCTAAGAGCAAACAGAGTTCCCTGCCCAGAGCGGGGAATTAAAATGAGACACATGAAGGTGAATGCTGAAGATCAAAGTTCCAGCCGAGGTCACAAGTCTTCCATTCAAACACACTCCAAAGCTTTTCGTTTCAGTCTATTAAAGTGTTTTACAGGAAGTTCTTTAAAATAATTTCATCCCAGACACCAGGTTTCTTCAATGATACACAGCTTCATGACATTTGTTTCCACCCAAAAGGAATACAAAGTAATTTTTATTGTTGTCTCTTTTGGTAGCGCAGAGAAGTACAACTTATCAGCCAGATTCCTTTAGCCATCAATGAGGGAAGGCGAGGTTAAGTAGAGACCTGGGCAGAGCTGCCTGCTGGATTCCACTTGTCTTTCTGAGGGTGTGACTTCAGAAGTGTAAAATCACATTTATGCCACTACAATGATTAGTACTAGTAATCTTTTTTTAGATGATAAAAAGGAAAATACCTAATGGACATAAAAACGGTCAAAAGATTCTTTCCGCAGGTTAATGCCCCCCCCCTCCAAAAAATAATACAAAATGAACATATAATTGGGATGGAAACTCCATTGGATATTCCAATTCACCCCACTGCTTGCTCCCCATAGAAGGGGAACAGGCATTAAGTTTTATTAGTAACGTTATAGTAACCAGATGTGTCAATGGCAGCTTATTTGAGGTCCATCAATCAAAGCATGGCTATTGTTTTCTGACTGCCCACATCTGAACACATTCAGCTACTATGGAAACTACAAAGGAAGGAAAAATATATTTATTCCAAGATTCGTTTACTGGGATTTTTAAGCGCCCTGTCTTCTGTAGAGCCCCAGAATGGTGATAATGTGCTAGGGGCTGCTGTGTTTCCCAGCATGAGCTCCCATTCTCTGAGGGTCCTGAGAAGGATAGTGGATTGGTCCTGGAGCCCTCATGAAAGGAGGAGGTGGTCCCATTGGGTGGAACATATGTGGCCCAAAACCTGCAGATGGGAGAACAAATATGTTAGACTTGCAGTTCCCCTGACCACCTTTCAAACCTCTGCATCTTTCTAAGGTCAACACCACTTGCACATAAACCAAATAACAAGGAGCTTCAGAAAATGTCATTTCTTAAGACTTGCTTAGAAATGTCTCCCTGTATTACTTCCTCAGTTTGAGAATCCATTCCTCTCAGTTCAGGTTAACAGAAAATTCCACAGGACTCAAGGTATCTGATAATATGTCATCTGAGCCCCTGCTAGCTATCAAACATGCCAATCCTGCCAAGCAGGATTCCTCAGGATCTGGGAGGTGAGGAAGAAATCAGGCTGACCCTGATTTGATGGAATCAAATGATGAAAGACCCTGTCATCATTAAACTCAATGATTTATATTAGAATGGAGGGTGTTCTAAACCGGGACTTTCTTCAAAGAGTATGGGAATTCTGCCACAGGGGCACTGGCCACCTGTGATTTACACTGTTCACACTGTCACTGACATTTTTAAAAAAATGTACTTTATTGATTTTAGAGAGGAAGGGAGAGGAAGAGAGATAGAAAAATCAATGATGAGAGAGAATCATTCATTGATCAGCTGCTTCCTGCATGCCCCACATTGGGGATCAAACCTGCAACCCGGGCATGTGCTGAGACTGGGAATCCAACCATGACCTCCTGGTTCATAGGTTGACACTTAACCACTGAACCACACTGACATTTTCTAGAGCAGCACTATACAAACTGCCAGTTCTTCAACTGTGTACTCCTGGCCACCAACAAGGTAAAGACTGTGAGCCAAATGTAACTAATTACACAACCAAGCACACTGTTTAGTTTGTCTTACAATTTTTTATATCAAGACTTTCATTCACATTCTGGCACAAGCTCCTTATCTTGGTATACAGGTAACAACACTTTGTGAACTGGTGGACATCCACAGCCTGCACTTTAAGCAGTGGTGCTCTAGGGCATCAGGATTACATTAGAACAGGGAACAAACTGGCCATATGTCACTGTAATCGATGAACTCCTATTCTGATTTTAAATATACTCAGATCTTTAGAAAACTGGTGACTTTCCCCTCCTCGGCAGGCCAGAAAAAAAAGAAATATCAGGAATCCTAACAAATCAGATTTATTTGAGGATTCTATGAGACAAACTCAAAAGATGTAGCCCAATAGACATGACTTTCAAAAGAACTTTTTAGGGCTAAGTCAGACTTATTTACTAAGAAGGAAGGTAGAAGTTACCTGGGGGTGGGGGTGGGGCAATTCCAGGGGGTGGCGGCAGGGCGATGTTCACCACAGCTGGAGGGCCACTGGGGGGCAGGTTGAAGTAGTTGGCAGAGGCTTCTTCCTCTGCTGCAGGAGGAGGGGGAAGAGCTGGAGGAGAGAAGAGAGCCAACAGTTAGAAGGGAAGACAACTGTGCAATGTTGTTTCCACTGCCTTTAAATTTGGGAGTTCTGAGGGGAGACAGAGCTGTTGCCGGAACCAGAGACCTGGGTCTCCTCCAACACTCAGGGATCATCAGAGCATCCATAGCTAGCAAGAAAGCCTGCACTCACCTCCCGGCAGGCCTGGAACAGGCTCCAGCTTGATGCCAGAGTCTGTGGTTCCATCTTTCTCTTTTTCTTTTCCTCGGGCTGCTTGGGACCTGAGAGACAGACATACACATCAGCACTGTGCCCCTTCTCTCACACCTCTACTTCTCAGGCTTCCTAGTCAAATGGACTTTCTTCACTCCTTGCCCCACTTTTTCCCTTTAAATGTCACAGTGCAGTGGATAAGATCAAAGGGTTTTTGTTTTGCTTTTTTCTAAAATATATTGACTGATTTCAGAGAGGAAGGGAGAGGGATAGATAGAAACATCAGTGATGAGAACCATTAATCGGCTGCCTCCTGCACGCCCCACTGGGGATCTAGCCCACAACCTGGGCATGTGCCCTAACCAGGAATCGAACCATGACCTCCTGGTTCATATAGGTCGATGTTCAACCACTGAGCCATGCCAGCTTGGCACGACCACATGTTTTGAAGCCAGAAAGACCTGGGTTCATAACTTGCTGGAACTATTATAAGGACTAGAAGAGGCAACCTATGTATATTTAGTACACAGCCTAATTAGCACCCAGGAAGCTCTCCATAAGGGTTGCTGCTGCTATCAGCAATCTTTTCCGTGGCTCCCGGTGAGAAACATGTTCCCCTTTGAACTTTCAGGGCATTTCATCACTTTCAAACCTAAATTAGTTTTTCTTCCCCACTGGAGGTCAGCCTCTAGAAGACAGAATCTGGTCTAATTCATTTGTATCCACCTTCAGGCCCTGGCATTATACTTAGCCTAGAATAACTGGTCACAAAACACATGAACCCTCAAAGATTACTACACCAAAACCCAGAATAACAGTCCAAAACAGGATACTCTGAACATCCACAGGAATGAATGTTAGATAGATAAGGAAATATTCTTTTTGACCCATTCACCAAAAGCTCACTAGCCCCAGGTAATGAAAGTTTTCTTGAAAATCTCAAAGATATTTTAAAATAGTCTATCCTCACCTTCCCCATTTCACATTAAGTCGACGGCCATTGACAATTAGCTTATTAAAGGACTTCTCCGCAGCCACTTCAGCGGCCTGCCTTGTGGCGAACTGGATGAAAGCACATTGCTGTCTCTGTACCACGGTGATCGTCCGAATCTCTCCAAACTGGTAGAAATGATTTCTGAAGGGATACAGGCAGAGAAAAATGATAACAACACACACGTTCCCAGGAGGGTGACAGCAGGCTAATCACTCTTGTACTGACTCACCACAAGGTACATGGCCCCAACTACCTGCAGGTAGTTTCCCCAATACCTTACGTACTATGAGGCTGCGTACTGAGAGGAAAAGAAAAATAATGGACAAATAAATTTTATTCAACATCTCAGATCTTCCCCATGGAGGAAAGGGGGCCCGAGTAAGTTTCTTAAGGACCCTAAACCCTAGATAAGGGGATAGCCAACTATAGCCTCCATGGCCCATGAGCCAAGAATGTTTACAGAAATGTTTTAAAAGGTTGTAAAAAGAGGAAGAGAAGGAGAAGAGCCAGCCACCCCCTGGAGACTGTCTAGCTCACTTAGGGTGTAGTGAAGACAGGCTACCAAGGCAGCTTATAAACTTATAGGAGTTTCTTTACCACTTTCTCTCTTTGGGAGAGGTATTTCCACTCTCTGCCCAGATGTCTCATTTAGCTGACTAAAATACAAGCTGAGAACCATACAAATTTACCAAATGCCAATCTCTTTAAAAAGCCAACAATGTAAACCATAAGAGTCTTATAATGGCAAAACTTCCCTTCCCCTACATAAGTAAGCCTACTTGATTGTGTGCCCTATTCTAAAAACTCTATTTGGCTATTAGGCCAAATAGAATCTCATGTAATTATCACCACATGCAAGAATGGACTAAGCACTGCTGATGAACATTACTACTCTGGCATCGTAAAGAACAATTTTATAAAAATTCTAGTCGGCATATTTACTGACTATAAACTAATTAAAGAAAAATGTATTTTTAAAGGATTATCATGCTTGACTGTTATTGCCCCCCACAAGTTATTCCAAGACAGCTAAAAGCAAAAAGAGCTCATAAAATTATATCCACAAACCTTAGATCTGTCTCAGTAATGGTATCGCCCAAACCACCAACATATAGTGTGGTGATAGTCTTGTCCTCTGGCGGGTCCAAACGAGGCATTGTTGAAGCCCGCTTTAGAAGCTTATCTGCCACAGGGTCATTGATTCCATAATATCGGTCTTTAATGTTCTGATCAGCAAGGGGGTCATCTGGATCTGTAGGCTTCTCATGTCTGTGGTTCAAGAACAATGCATAAAGATGAAACAAAACAATTTATAGGTATCACCCAACAGTAGCTACACCCAAATAAATACCCAGAAATGCCTTTTAAACTAAAACCCTGGTCATACCAAGACAAAGTTATTGATATAGAGCTGATATCAAGTGATTTACTGTATTACAAGGACTTGCCAGCCTCCTGAAACCCACTGAAATGACCACCTAGGGCGGCAGTTTCCTTAGAAATACTTTTGGCACAATTCACCCCCAAACAAAGGTAACCAAAACATCATTCTCTCTCTCACGGTCAATGGTTCTTAACATATTTGAGGTCTTGCATTCCACTCAGAGTCTGATTAAAGCTATGGACCCAGGCCTAGAAAACGAAATAATTTTTTTGGTGGGGGTGAGATTAACCAACCCCAAGTTAAGAGCTCCTAATCCACATGCTTGGCAGTCCTGACGGAAACATACTCACACACCCTTAGATGCCTGGCCTTAATTTGACCTCATCAGCCCATTGAAATTCAAGCCAGTGAGACCGTAATAGTGAAGACTTACAACTCAGGGTACACATCTGTGTTATACAGCACAGTAATTTAGCTTCCCAACGCTCAGTTATAAGTAAAAGCTCCATTACATGTAAAAACAATTTAATCAAGCTTTTCTAAATTTAACAGTCTTGAGATGAGATATACCACACTAGTTGTACATACTTTGAGATTTTAAGGCAGAGATTGTTTAAACTAGCACCTCTCACTTCTTAGATGACTAATCATCTGAAAGCAAATACTGAAAACGCACTTCAGCTCTTACCTGTATGGACATTCCTCTCCTCTCTTACATTCTCCTTTCACCCAGAAGGAGCAAATGTGGGGTCGATTCCTTTTGTAGTAGGGTGTGGTCCGGGCCAGTTTGAGCAGCATGTCACTGGTGGATGTGGCTTTCCCCAGCATGCCAACTGGCCGTGTTCCATCAGAGTTAGAAATCTACACACAGGGATGGCAAATTCAAAAGATAAATTATATAAACTGTGTCAATCCACTAGGATTCTTTTACCAAATAAAAGACTACATCAAGAAAGTGGCAGCATACCTCCCTCTCCATATTCTGTGTGTAGTACTCTTTGTTGACATCTGATTTTGGCATGTCATCCTTAAAAGACAGCCCTGCATCACGAACCTGGATGGGCAGGCCTGGTACAAAGGAAAGGAGGAAAAACAGGCATATTTAAAAACATTGCTGAATATACACACAGAATATAGTATCATCCTTTTTCCACTTTCTTATTCAGTACCAGAGGCTTTACTATATTTTTACTGAAAATATTTAGCACCATCAGGCAAATATTGCTACGGAGCATTCTAAGAAATTATCCTAATTCCTGAGCTAGCATGATTCTGAAACAAATGTTTTAGAAAATTTTTTAGATGAACAAACTTTGGGTATAGTCAGATTTGACTTGTAAATTAATAATGTATCTAGCCCGGACGGTGTGTCTCAGTGGACTGAGCATTGCCCCAGGCACCAAGTATCCACCCAGGAGCTAAGAGATCACGGGTTCAAAGCCCAGGTTGCGGGCTCAATCCTCAATAGGGGGCGTGCAGGAGGCAGCTCATCAATGTTCTCTCTCATCGATGTTTCTATCTCTCTCTTCCTTCCTTTCTCGCTCTCAAAAAAAAAAAAAAAAAAAAAAACCGACACAAAAAAACCAATAAAGACATATTTTAAATAAATGCAAAAAGTGGTTCATTTTAGGTTAGTCCTACAGATTGTCTGGATAGTTATGGTCTTTTATGGGGTCATTGTATTATAGGACCAGAACCTCTCCTTAACAAACATATAAATAAGTGACTAGGGCCCTAGTTGGTTTGGCTTAGTGGATAGAGCATCGGCCTGGGGACTAAAGGGTCCCAGGTTCAATTCTGGTCAAGGGCACATGCCCTGGTTGTGAGCTCAATCCCCAGTAGGGAGTGTGCAGGAGGCAGCCAATCAATAATTCTGTCTCATCATTGATGTTTCTCTCTCTCTCCCCCGCTCTCCCTTTCTCTCTGGAATCAATAAAAATATTGAAAAATAATAACAATACTGTGACCAGGACTGAGAAACAGAGCAGCTTTCTGAATTTAACATATATAAACTTGTATTTTCCTTTTACCGTACAGCAGAAACTCTTGTGGAAAAAGTATTTTCTCCTAAACAAGTCACTTTCAATTAAGAAAAAAAAGCACTTACTCTGAAACAGTGGCAGCATATCAGTCCTAACAATACAGTTGAGACAAAAACCTAAAGCAAGATTAGCCTATGAGCTTCTGGTGGGAACTGTGGAAAAAAGCTTTGGATCTAGAAAGAAGCCCAAGGCAAAGAAATTACCTACCATAGGAACAAGGCCTTTACCTCCCCTTGACTACAGATACACATAAGGGAGCTTTAGGCTAGTTCTAATTAATTCCCAACTTTTCTCTATGTTCCTACTGCTGTTCAGGAGTTCTCTAGGATCGCCTAGTATGGTTCTCCCCTTACAAGAAAAAGCAGACCACAGCACACATTCCAAACTGGGGTCAGAACAGAGGTAGGGTAGACATGGGAGGTGAAAAGACTGGTTTGTTGTCTAGGGCACCTGCATACTTTCAGATTTATTGGACAGGGCAAACATACCATACTCCAGATCCAAGAGGCAAGTCTGACAGACATTCTTCAATTTACTACACGTTTGGCACACTTCAGTCTTCTTGAAACGCATGCGGACTCCGGGGCACCAGCGAAACACTGTGAATGGCCTGGCACAGATCTTTAACACAAAATAAGGGTCACAGTGTGAAGAGTCCTCATCTGGACAATGAATCCAGACTTAATAACAACGGGGGATTCAAAGAAAGGATCCCCAAATCTAGGGTTTACAAGAAACCTTAGCAATCATCTAGCCTAAATGCCATTTGATATTTCAATCATATTTACAACACTCTGCCCCAGTAGTAAAAAATTCACATAGCACAGAAAGAGGAATTTTCAGTCCTCTCCACCCCATTAATAATGTGACCCTTAATCCTTTTCGGGGTGAGTGGGGAGTGTCATATACTCCTTTGAGAATCTTATGACAGCTGTGATCTTCCTCTGCAGCTAAAATTCTCATGTGCACAATCAACACTTGGTATACAATCTCAGGGGGTTCAAAGCCCATCCACAGACACCAGGTTAAGAACCCCTATATTGAAGGGCTCATTTTCTTACCTCACACACTAAACAGTTAACAGCCAATGAGTACATAAATGATATATGAAAGTTGCGTAGCACTGACTTTTACTGGAAGACCTCAAAGCTCAGCAAGTTGAAAGCTAATTTGGTAGAAAAAAGGAAAATAAAATGAAATAATTACTCTTTAACAGACATACTTACTTTGCATTCCTTCCCGTACTTTTCTTTGGTCTGAAATAGAAAAAAACCAACAGAAAAGAGCTGGAGTTCCAGAAAAAAAAAAAAGACCAGATGTCTGCTTCTTCCCCCAATACAACCCAGGAAGTGTGTGTGGCATCCTAAAGGGGGTGTGTGTGTTTGGCAGGGGGGGGGGGGGGATAAATTCTAATCACCAACTATGAGTTCTAACCTCTTAAGAATCTTATGGATCTAACACCAAGTAGCATGTGTCTTTAAACAGCCACAACTTTCAGGCTCACCACTGTCTCCCAAGAACGAAACCTCCTAACTCAGCGGTTCTCAACCTGTGGGTCACAGCCCCTTTAGGGGTCGAACAACCCTTTCACAGGGGTCGCCTAAGACCATCAGGAAACACATATTGAATATATAATTACATATTGTTTTTGTGATTAGTCACTATGCTTTAATTATGTTCAATTTGTAACAATGAAAATACATCCTGCATATATGATATTTACATTACGATTCATAACAGTAGCAACATTACAGTTATGAAGTAGCAACGAAAATAATTTCATGGTTGGGGGTCACCACAACATGAGGAACTGTATTAAAGGGTCGCGGCATCAGGAAGGTTGAGAACCACTGCCCTAACTGTTCCCACAGTTCCCGATTCAGGAGGGATGTAGCCATGGCCAACCCATCTTTTACAAAATTTAGTCAGAAAGTAACTAGCACAGACCGTGCGGATATCCTGCATATAGTAAACGTTCCCTTCCCATAAGCTATTCAACATCTTGCACAAATCAATCTATCAACACCTGGGACGGATCCAATAACACAGTCCTGATTACTATTCACTGTTAACGAATTTAACCCTTATTTGTGATGACAGGAACACCTGACATTAAAGAGACAGACACGGTGCGGTGACCAAGAGGCGTTTGTTTAGGAGTAAGGACACCCAGCTTCCAGTCCTGTGTCTCCGAACTTGCTGAGGCCCCTGGAGTGAGACCATATGAATTTAAATCCCAGCCCCACTCATGATTTGCTAAATGAACAGACATAAACCCGGCTTCTGGTTAATAGATCCATCTCCCAGGTGAGTGCTCAACAAACCCAAGCTGTATTATATGACTCCTACATCACGGAACTGTCTGCGTTTCAAAGCGACAGAATAAGCATGACAGTCCTCTGTAAACTGTCACAGACCCGGCTGGTACAGGAGCACCGTTACTTCCGCCGGCTGGGAGCAGCACTTGGCGGACCGTGTGCAGGGACCACCACGTTGACAGAATGCCAACAACCCCGCTTCACACACCCTCACTCACCATTCGGATATACGGGTTTTCTCCAAGACACGTCTGGCACAGGATGGGGAAGTCCTGGTGACAATGGGAAATCTGGTTGAGGGCCAGGCTCCGAAGACCCCGCCATCTCGGCCACACCGGCGGGCAACCGGGAGACGGGGGGTGGGGGAGGGACGAGGAGCGAGGGCGGGGAAGCGCAGGGCAGGAGCCCGAGGTCCAGCGCGGGCCCGGTCGCGGGAGGGGGCGCCGTCTGCCCTTCCGGCGGCGGCGGCGGCGGGAGGCGAGCAGCACGGAGAGAGGAGGAGGCAGGCATGCAAAGGGGGCTGGTCTCGGACCCTGGCTGCGCCCCCTCCCTCCACGGCCGCAGGAGGGCCGCCCTCCGGCCTCCCGCCCCAGCCCGGCTAGGCCGCGGCGCTGGCTCCTCCCCGGAGTTCCCTCGGCGGCGCCGCAGCCACGCCGGGCCCGGCGGGAGGCCCGGCCTCGCCGCCCCTTCCCGGCCTCGCCTGGCAGGCACACTCACCGCATCCTCCCAGTTCTGCCTGTTGTAGGTGTTGGAACCCAGAGAAGTCGCCATCTTGAGAGCGTCCGGAGGCAGCCGCCGCTTCCGAGTTGGCAGATAGGACCGCCACAATCCCGACAGGTCCCGGGCTGGTTCCCGGCCTGTGACGTCGTATTTGTGCGTCTCGTGCGCCCTTGTACGCCTTGACGTCACCCGCTCGGACGTCGTCCTGATGTGTTAAACCCTGGAGCTCCCTCCTGGGTCCCTGCTTGGGGTGAAGAGCCACAAGTACATCTGGTTTATTTAATAGTTGAGTGAAAGAATAAAGGAGCAAGTAATGAGTGAGGGGGTGGGGTTCAAGCAGCGTTAGCTCCCACTGGGCGCTTACGCCAAAGCTGGGCGAACGTCCTGCCGTGCCAGTCAGTGTCTTATTAAATGATCACAACCACTCCTGTAGGCAGTGGTTCTCAGCCTTCCTAATGCCGAGACCCTTTAATTCAGTTCCCCATGTTGTGGTGACCCCCAATTTCATTGTTACAAGTTGAAGATAATTAAAGCATAGTGGTTAATCACAAAAACTATGTAATTATATATGTGTTTCTGATGGTCTTAGGCGACCCCTTGAAAGGGTCATTCGACCCCCAGAGGTTGCGACCCACAGGTTGAGAACCGTTGCCTGTAGGGTTGCCAGGATTAGCAAGCAACACAGAATGTCTAGTTAAATTTAAATTTCAGTTAAACAATGAACCACATTTTAGTATAAACATGTTCACTTATACCCCAAAAATGACTCATCTGAAAGCCAAATTTAGCTAGAGGTCATGTATTTTATCTGGTAACCACTACCCTCTGGGCAAGTATGATTGTCCCTCTTTTATAGGAATGGAAACAGGTTGAGAGAGATTAAGCAACTTGCTCATGTTCATCTAATAAGTGGTGAAGCCACAAATCCAAAGACAATAGTACTGTCTTTCTAACTTCTGAAAAGTGCCTTAAAGATCAATACAGGTATTGTTTTATCATTTGGGGGACAACTTATAACCACTCTGCCAGTATTTTACTAATTTCAGGCATTCTGGTACCACGTTCATAATTTTTTTACATATCCCATCATCAAACTACCTAAAATTTATTCCCTAATTTTTTTTAAATGAGGTTTATCCTATCTAATAAAAGAGAAACATGGTAATTAGCGTACGACCCTTACCCTTCCCATTGGCTAATCGGCGAGATATGCAAATTAACTGCCAGCCAAGATGGCGGCTGGCAGCCAGGCAGCTGGAAGCGAACATGAGGCTTGACTCCAATGTTCCCCGCCTGCCTTGCCGGCCTCTGAGCTTGCAGTTTGAAACATTGTAACAAATATAGAAGCTAAACAAAACCCCAGAAACCTGCTTTCAGTCGGCCAGGATCTCAGAGCTGGAGTTATACATTGTTTCGATTATAGAACCCAAACAAATCAGATACCTGCTTTTAGCAGCAGAGGCCTCAGAGCTGGAGCCAGAGCTAAAGCTGGCCCAGAAGAAAAAAGAAAAAAGAAAAAAAGGAGCAGTTGGGAGCTTCAGTCACCCGCCAGCCTGAAAACAGCCCTCAGCCCCTCACCCAGACTGGCCAGGTACCCCAGTGGGGACCCCCACCCTGAAGGGTGTGTGACCAGCTGCAAACAGCCATCATCCCCTCATCCAGGCTGGCCAGGCACCCCAGTGGGGACCCCCACCCTGAAGGGTGTGTGACCAGCTGCAAACAGCCATCATCCCCTCATCCAGGCTGGCCAGGCACCCCAGTGGGGACCCCCACCCTGAAGGGTGTGTGACCAGCTGCAAACAGCCATCATCCCCTCATCCAGGCTGGCCAGGCACCCCAGTGGGGCCCCCCACCCTGATCCAGGACACCCTTCAGGGCAACCAGCCAGCCCCACCCATGCACCAGGCCTCTATCCTATATAGTAAAAGGGTAATATGCCTCCCAGCACCGGGATCAGCGGAGCTGAGAGGCCTCCCGGCACCGGGATCAGCGTGACAGGGGGCAGCACCCAAACCCCCTGATCGCCCTGCGGCTCTGTGTGACAGGGGGCAGGGCCACAACCTCCCTATCCACCCTGCTCTGTTTGTGCCCCAACCTCCTGATCAGCCCTGCTCTGTGCCTGATACGGGGGAGCTCCCCAACCCCATGATCGCCCTGTGGCTCTGTGTGTGACAGGGTGCAGCGGCCCAACCCCCTGATCGGCCCTGCTCTGTGTGTGACAGGGTAGAGCCATAACCTCCCCATCGGCCCTGCCCTGAGTGTGAGAGTGGCGGCGCCCCAACCCCCTGATCCGCCCTGCTCTGTGTGTGACAGGTACGGAGCCCCAACCCCCCTGATGGGCCCTGCTCTGTGCGTGACAGGGGGTGGCGCCACAAACTCCCCATAGACCCTGCCTTGAGTGTGACAGGGGGCGGTACCCCAACCCCCCAATTGGCCCTACCCTGAGCGTGACTGAGGGTGGCATCGCAACCTCCCAATCCGCCCTGCTCTGTGCATGACAGGGGGCAGCGCCCCAACTCCCCAATCGGCCCTGCTCTGAGCCCGACCAGGGGCTGCACCTAGGGATTGGGCCTGCCCTCTGCCACCCGGGAGCAGGCCTAAGCCAGCAGGTCGTTATCTCCCGAGGGGTCCCAGACTGTGAGAGGGCACAGGCCAGGCTGAGGGACCCCCCCTTCGCCCCCCACCCCCAGTGCACAAATTTTTGTGCACCGGGCCTCTAGTTTAAAGTATAATTTCTGTACAGAAGTTTACCTTCTAATTGTACAGTTAGGGAACTTTACATACATTCACCACAAATATAGACTAGTTCCACCCCAAGAATTCCTTTGTGCCCAAATCAATCCACTTCCCACATACACTGTCAGTGGCAATCACTGGTCTGTGTTCTGTCCGTATAGTTTTGCCATTTCCAAAATATTATAAATGGAATCCTATTTAGCCTTTATGGGTCTAACTTCTATTTCTTAGGATATTGTATTTGAGATTCACCAATATTGTTAGACATTTCAATAATTTGTTCCTTTTTATTTCTGAGAATTCCATTGTATGGGTAGACCAGGGGGGTTAAAAAATTCCATTTGCCAGTTGATGGACATTTGAATTGTTCCAGATTTCCATGAATATAAAAGCCATTACAAACATTCATATACAGGTTGTTGTAAGTACCTAATAGTGAGATTATTTGATCATATGGTAAAAATATATTTTCCTGTATGAGAAAGCACTTGGGTTTATCTGAGCTTCTTGGATCTGTGGTTTTTGTCTTTCATTATATTTTGAAAATTCTTAGATGTCATTGGTTCAAATATTCTCCTGCTGTCTCTTTTCCACCTGGAATGCTAATTATACATATTAGACCATTTGAGATTGTCCCATAGATCTGGAATATTTTGTTGTTGTTTCACCCTTTGAGGGTGGGGATCCGTTTGGATCATTTCTATTGACCTATCTCCAAGTTTCCTGATTATTCTTCAGCTATGACAAGTCTACTGATGAGCCCATAGAAGATATTCATCATCTCTGATCCTGTTTTTTATTTCAATTTGTCTCTTATAATTTCTTCTTCTTTGCTGAAATCTGTTCACACATATTATCCATATTTTCAACTAGATTCTTCAACATGTTAATGAGAGTTTAGGTCTTCGTTCAATAGTTCTAACATCTGGATCATATCTGTATGTAGTTTTGACTGTCGATGAAAAATGGCTTGGTTTTTGTGTATCTCATTTATTTTCTTGATTGCCAGTCAATGCTTATATACCACTAGAGACTGCGTAAAGAGTAGTAATGCTTGGAGATGGACAAGCCTCTTCTTCTGTCAGGCTGTGTGGGTTTGGTCAATTTAGTCAGGAATTGAGCTGGGTTTGGGTTTTGTTGTTGCTATGGTTGCCTTCAGTGTACCACAGCTTTCATATCCTCCAGCATTATTTTGTGCTTTAGGTTAGAATTGAACTTTTCTTAAGGGTTGTTATTTCATCCTTAGCTTTCAGCTGTCCTGCATACCTGCACCACTGTGGTTAGGTCTGTGCATTTGCTCACCCTCACCAGCTGATGTTTGTTACTAGCTGCTTCCTAGGTGGTTAGTGGTGGAGGGGTCAGGGGTTCTTTGTTCTAATTCAGTCTCAGTCTTAAGTAGGTCCCTTGTGGCCAGGTCTTGGAAACAGGTCTTTTCTTAGTATTTCTGCCCCTCCTCTCTGTGGCAACCAAACCGTCTTGTATTTGCAGCTGGCCCTTCCTATAGTGAGTGGTAGGAAACCTTTAATGGAATTGGTATAGAATCCTGGGGCTCAGTCAGGACTGTCCCTCTCTAAGTTGGGTTTTTTCTTACCTTGTTCCAGCAGCAGTGGAGACAGGATTTGTTTCACCCCATGACTTAGGCCTTTATGCTCCTTATGAGGGAAGGTATAAAGAGAGGAGGCAAGCTTTCATGTCTTTTCATGAAAAGTGGCAGCAGATCCCTCCTGCATGCCTCCAAACCAAGGGATGCTCTCAGAGTTCCAGCACCACTCCCTGTCCCTGCGGGTCTTTCTTGTGAACACCTGGTGAAGGTCTTGGGAGGAGCTTGTGAACGCATGCAAGTTTCCTTAGTGTCTGAAGCTCTCTGGGGTTTTAAAATGCCATGTTAGCCCAGAGTTGGCCTTTAACAATTCTTTCATTTTTTTGTTGGTTTCCTCTTACCTGCTCATATGTGCTCAACACTTCTTCCTCCCATGCTCTGTTACAGGTGAACCACTCTATGTCTGATCTCTTTGGAGGATCTACCCCTCCTTAAAATTCAGAGTATTTGACTGCTCTGCCACAACTCCTGAGTTCCACTTTTATTTATTTTTAAAAAATATATATATTTTTATTGATTTCAGAGACGAAGGAAGAGATAGAAACATTAATGATGAGAATCATCAGTTGGCTGCCTCCTGCATGCCCCCCTACTGGGGATCAAGCCCGCAACCAGGGCACATGCCCCAACTGGGAATCAAACCATGACCTCCTGGTTCATAGGTCAATGCTCAACCATTGAGCCACACAGGCTGGGCTCCACTCTTATTTTAAAAGGAAAATTTGAT